TATAGATGAGCAGTAACACCTTCATATTATCTTTACATTGATGAGCAGTTACATCTTTAGTAATATCTTTATATCGTTTTATTATATTGATGAGCAGTAACACCTTCATATTGTTTTTACATTGATGAGCAGTTACATCTTTAGTAATATCTTTATATCGTTTTATTATATTGATGAGCAGTAACACCTTCATATTGTTTTTACATTGATGAGCAGTTACATCTTTAGTAATATCTTTATATCGTTTTATTATATTGATGAGCAGTAACACCTTCATATTATCTTTACATTGATGAGCAGTTACATCTTTAGTAATATCTTTATATCGTTTTATTATATTGATGAGCAGTAACACCTTCATATTATCTTTACATTGATGAGCAGTTACATCTTTAGTAATATCTTTATATCGTTTTATTATATTGATGAGCAGTAACACCTTCATATCATCTTTACATTGATGAGCAGTTACATCTTTAGTAATATCTTTATATCGTTTTTACATTGATGAGCAGTAATATCTTTAGTAATATCTTTATATCGATTTATTATATTGATGAGCAGTAACATCTTTAGTAATATCTTTATATCGATTTATTATATTGATGAGCAGTAACATCTTTATATCGTTTTTACATTGATGAGCAGTAATATCTTTAGTAATATCTTTATATCGATTTATTATATTGATGAGCAGTAACATCTTTATATAGTTTTTACATTGATGAGCAGTAATATCTTTAGTAATATCTTTATATCGATTTATTATATTGATGAGCAGTAACATCCTTATATCTTTATTTACATTGATGAGCAGTAATTGATGAGCAGTAACACCTTCCTATCGTTTTTACATTGATGAGCAGTTACATCTTTAGTAATATCTTTATATCGTTTTATTATATTGATGAGCAGTAACACCTTCATATCATCTTTACATTGATGAGCAGTTACATCTTTAGTAATATCTTTATATCGTTTTATTTTATTGATGAGCAGTAAAACCTTCATATCATCTTTACATTGATGAGCAGTTACATCTTTAGTAATATCTTTATATCGTTTTATTTTATTGATGAGCAGTAACACCTTCATATCATCTTTACATTGATGAGCAGTTACATCTTTAGTAATATCTTTATATCGTTTTATTTTATTGATGAGCAGTAACACCTTCATATCATCTTTACATTGATGAGCAGTTACATCTTTAGTAATATCTTTATATCGTTTTATTTTATTGATGAGCAGTAACACCTTCATATCATCTTTACATTGATGAGCAGTTACATCTTTAGTAATATCTTTATATCGATTTATTATATTGATGAGCAGTAACATCTTTAGTAATATCTTTATATCGATTTATTATATTGATGAGCAGTTACATCTTTAGTAATATCTTTATATCGATTTATTATATTGATGAGCAGTAACATCCTTATATCTTTATTTACATTGATGAGCAGTAATTGATGAGCAGTAACACCTTCCTATCGTTTTTACATTAATGAGCAGTTACATCTTTAGTAATATCTTTATATCGTTTTATTATATTGATGAGCAGTAACACCTTCATATCATCTTTACATTGATGAGCAGTTACATCTTTAGTAATATCTTTATATCGTTTTATTTTATTGATGAGCAGTAACACCTTCATATCATCTTTACATTGATGAGCAGTTACATCTTTAGTAATATCTTTATATCTTTATTTACATTGATGAGCAGTAATTGATGAGCAGTAACACCTTCCTATCATTTTTACATTGATGAGCAGTTACATCTTTAGTAAAATACCGTTTTATTATTTTGCTAAGCAGTAACACCTTCATATCGTTTTTACATTGATGAGCAGTTACATCTTTAGTAATATCTTTATATCGTTTTATTATATTGATGAGCAGTAACACCTTCATATCATCTTTACATTGATGAGCAGTTACATCTTTAGTAATATCTTTATATCGTTTTATTATATTGATGAGCAGTAACACCTTCATATCATCTTTACATTGATGAGCAGTAACACCTTCATATCGTTTTTACATTGATGAGCAGTTACATCTTTAGTAATATCTTTATATTTTTTTTTTACATTGAGGAGCAGTAACATCTTCATATCGTTTTCACATTGATGAGCAGTACATCTTTAGGAACATCTTTAAATCGTTTTGTACATTGATGTGTAGTAGCCTCTGAAGATATTTTGTAGCATTTTTATATCTCTGTATCGTTTTTAACATAAATGAGCAATAACATATTTTTATCGCTTTAACATTGATGAACAGTAACATCACCAGTAAGTAATAAGGCATAATTAGAGGGAAAATACAGTTCGTACACATGTGGAAGAGTTCGGGTAACCATCATGAAAAGGAACATCTTTAAATAGTTATATGATATATCAAGACAGTGTGTACTGTAGAAACACCTCTTACATAACAGACAGAAATTGTTCTAGTTATATGAATGGAGAAGATGTTCCGTATACTTCAATAAACAAATCTACACATAAATTAATAGATTATAAAAGTTAATTGTACGGAAACTCTATGACAATTGACAGTCAGGTTATTTAAGGACATTTCAAGTAAGTTTCTAAACTTATCAAACGGCGTCTAAACCGAGACGAGAGCATCTTACATTTGTTTGTTAATCACCAGTACAACTTTGCATTTCAACCAAATTAAACAGTGGCTTACACCCCTACACTGGGTCAAAGTAACTTTTTCTTGAAAACTTTTGTACTTGTAAATCTCGAGTAACGTAAAGTAAACATAACATTTGTGGCCAAGTATAATTAAATAGAGCTGTACACCTAACTTTTAAGCATTTTTAGCACTATACTACTTCGAAAGTTATACTCGAACGTGAACAAACACCTGCTTATAAAGTTTTTCCAGTATGCGATGAAAAAGAAACCTCTATAATATACTACTTCTTGTTTCTAGAATTGGATGTCTGAAATTGTAATTTTCCCCCCATATCTTAAAAATATGAAGAGATTGGTATACGGATGAATAAGTGAGAAAGTCTTCTGTACAGGCGGATGTTTATACCAGGCAGTGGTCTACTTTCGATTTGCATACTCAAAATAAAATATTGAATAATTTCCTGAGAAAGTTATGTATCGAATTTCGTGATTTAACATGGAAAGAGACGGCAAATGAATTGTTGGAAATGAAATAAATTGAGTTTTACGTCCTACTTTTATGCAAGATGTGGAATAATGAAGACGGTCAACGCACATTGAGGGGAATTTTTCCAGGACAGCGGCAGTGGCCTGCTCTTTTGCGATTTCGTACTGTCGAGGGTTTTTAAACGGGGCTTCGGTTTATTAATGATTTTTCAATATCAGCCCCTCACAGGGGGAAACCAGGTTGAAAAATTCCAAAGGTATTATTGCGCGAGCAAATGCAGAACTCTCTTAGCCACCCAAATAAATTTTTGGAGGAAGTCCTGATTTAATTAAGGGGAATAACTCATACAATGCCGAGTGCCGCCAGGCTTCACGGGACGTGAGCATTCTCAAACACCTTATCACTGATGATGCCACGATATGGTTATTTTATTTCCTGAATATTTTCATTATACTGAGATCCAATGAACTAATGAACGTTGCAACGGATCTCGTCTGTCTAGTCTCATTAAACAGAGCCAGATAATTGACATTAAGAGACCAAGAAACCAATTAATAACTGAACCCTCCAAAGAGAAAATTATCACCCGTCTCGACGAGTGGCCTCGGTGGCACATATTAAATAGCAAACCCCTATCCTGATTCAAGGGGCATTGAATAGTCGTTCAGATGGGACAATAAACCGAGGCCCTGTGTTCTACAGGCTGTGCATGTTAAAGATCCCTCGACAGTTTGGAATCGAAAAAAGAGCAGGCTAATGCCGCTTTTCTGGCAAAATTTCCCTCATTGCACCCTGCATGGCGTTGCCAGTCTTCATTAGCCCACATGGCGCAGAAAAGTATGACGTAAAACTCCATTCATTTCATTTCATTTTCAAGGGGCTTTGAAGAATGAGTATCAAAATAGGATTCGCCAAGCCGCTTAAAAGCATACCAGGCATTAAAAATTGCACCTATCGAACTGTTTAACTTCCAAACAGATGCGGATCTTATGCATTTGTCCCGAGGTCAGCACCACAAAAGGGGCATACAAACACCTGGGACAGGATGAAACACCAAAATAAATTTTTTTTAGCCAATCAATGGATTTGTTCCATCATTAGCATTTATTTTTTGACAGAAATAGTACACAATAACATGATTCGCATGAGCAAAAGTGGAATTACAAAACATAACGTTCACTGAAAACATTGTGACCAATTACAAAAGTTTGAACACGGCTGTATCTTGTCTGCGTCAGGAATATGTTGCTAAATTTAGATTCAGTCACGTGATTTTCAAGTTGGAACACAAACAAATGTTAACACCAAAATCTGAGTCACAAACACCAATTTCGACTTGTACTTGTCCCGAATAGTTCCTGATCTTAAGTAGGCCAATAAGTTGAGCTTGACGACAGAATTACAGACCACAATATCTTTTGGCAGGATGGCAACATAGGTGACGTTATATTTACAATATTGTCTTTAAATTCACTGTTCATGTTAACTTTTTAACCAGTCTTTTCTTGTTCAATTGCTGAAAAGATATCGAAAAGCAGATTAGTAAAGGGCGCAATAAACAAAAATACACAAAACTTCATATGACAATTTTGGTTGTTGGATAGGAAATGATATCTGAACACAGCTTTGCTGGTAACTGCATTGAAGATTATGTGATTACACAAAAAAGCGGCAACTCCATTCATTTCATTTAGAAAAAGCGGCAATTCCTTCAATAAATAAAATCTTGAAATATAACTAAGGAAGGCCAAACATAAAAGGCAAGACCGAGAAGTTCATATAAACACATTTCCGTTGAAATATCAGTCGGCTAATTTTGTGGTTTCCTCTTGTCTCTTCAAGTGATAATAACTATGCAAATTTCCGTTTGACAAAAGTTAGAAAATCTGGTTTGAAAATGTAGTGTTAAACAAAGGCTGTGTTTACTTTCTAATCTCGCTCGGTAGTACGACAGACTGCATTTTAAACAAGCGTACAACACTCCCAATTCAACAAATATTTTTATCTTAACTTCCTTGACCTAAAAATGACATGTCATGTCCCAAAGTTTATCCATTAACAATGTTGCGGTACTATCGGATTCGAACATAAAACTTCTGGTATAGAATAATGTTCACTGGATCTGTTTCATAGCAAAACCGACCAGGTGGGGGTTCAAGTCTCGCACGTTCACTGCATAACTCGACTGACAACCCGGATTTAACCATCGAAGGCCCATCAATAGATCATGCACACAAATGTACTTGTATGACTTATTTCACTTCAAATTCAATATGAATATATATTGCATAGACCAAAGGGTTCGAAAACCTACGTATCCAGAGCTAACGACTTACTTCCTTTATGTAAATCACTTGGGGATAATTCAACGACTCACCGACAAGGAAGTAAATAGTAACAATCAACCAAACTGTTCAATAGAAAGACCATATTCTTTAAAGTATGAAGAATTAAACTATGCTGATTAAGAACAAGGAAGAATTATGTTAAATCTAGTAAATTGAGTGGGAAATTAAGGGAAATCTGCCAACGACATTTGATGGTTTCGTTCATCTATAATTCTATGGATCTCTTGGAAAAACTTTTCTTAAATGATTTAACTACATGTAATATCGAAAACATACTAAGGAGCCAGGAAGGCTCTGATTGTCGCCCTGTTCGTCGCAAAGGACACGAGTGAATGCTTCAAAATGAAACATGACCGATTACCAGCAACACAAGGTGTCGCATATCCGCTTGCTTGGGTCAAGGACAAATCCAACTGAACAGCAATAGCGATACCACCAGTCGTTGAAAATCCAGTTGCTCGTTGAGAACGCTCGCTGTAGGGGCAAACGAAAACAGTTGTTAGATGTATACCTATACGGTTGAAATCATTCCAGTTTCAAATTGTTGAAATAGTTTATTGGAAATTCCATTTGGAAAATTTCCCACAATAAAAGGTAGAGAAATAATGCTTCTAAATAAAGATGATAAACCATCTACTTTACAAAATTCACTATTAGTGTTTTGAATATACATTTCATTTCGTGTGTACTTAAATGCTGCAAAACAAGCCTTTCTCCAAGGCAAAAATGTTAATAATGTACTTTCGCCTTTCAAAATCGCATTGAATGTGCCTTTATTTCAAATTCGATTAAGATAGTTTCAATATCTGAAGCGCTTTCTTTGTTCCATATACCCCAGATTACCGTAGCCAAAGAATAGTTTGCTGTACTATGATTCATAACATAGTAAAACGGATCAATAAACACAGAACGGGCCATCAAGCCAGCTGTGCAATATTATTGTATTATTTAATCTCGCCAAAACAGTTCTCATATCCAAGTCGAAATAGGTCCGATTAGAAACGCACGCTTAAGAACAAATTCCAGAAATGGTAGTTTTCCGTCTCTTGCGAGAATCAAACCAGAGAAATGAAAAAACAACATTGTTTTCACGTTAAAACTGTACTATAAATAGAATTATTTTTCTAAAAAGACACAAATCGAATTAAGTTGAGATTTATTCAAAATCGTGTGCACTCAATCAAAGCGTGTTTTTAAAGCGTACATACAGACCTAGTATAGACATTTTTTCTTACGTGGAATGGAAACAAAGGTGAACTGAGTCTGTGATAAATGGTAATTACTTTCCCATCCCATTTAACTAAATAACTTCATCTCACATGTCAAATACTAGGATCAGGGTCATATTTCAGGATAGTAAGAACTCTTGTCGACAGTTCATTTCACAGCTCGTAAAACCTAGTCAAGCCACCACTGTACTTTTAACTGAAACAATCTTTGTGATTCTCGCCGGTTTTCAAAAGCAAACAGTTTTACACTCGAACGTAAAATATAATTCCTCTAATTCTTTGCATGGACAAACCAACAAATGAATTATAGAGAACGAAAACTAACTATAATTAAAATCTTTCCACAAGAAAAGAATTATAAAACGTCCAGCTGACAGGCTTTCGAACCTCCATAGAAAAGTCGTTTATAATACAGTAGTACCCGTCAATACAAAAAAAGACTTATTAAGGGGTGGCTGCGGTTACAGACTGATTCACTGTATAATTCCACAGTGGCATTTCACGTTCGCGGTTTAGTAAATCAAGGATCAATACTTACTCTCTTTAGTGGGTAAAGTATTTTTCTCGTTGGTTTCAGCTTTCTTCAATTTAGATTTGTCGAACTTCGCGACTTCACTGACGTCTGGTTTATCACTCATGATGCTGATTGTATGTTCTGGAAAGAGATTGGCATGGTTGCGATCAGAAAACATCCCGGAAAAATGGGCAGGATTCTACAATTTAACATTGGCATTTGGCATTTTTAACACGAGATATATTTTGAAGTCAAACCATCTATGAGAGCCAAGAAGAAAATAATGGGTTTTACATATTAAGCTCTCAATGAAGCAATTAGATTAATTGGCTAAGGTATAGATTTGCCCATCGACTAGGCATGATGCAGGCCTACACCCACCACACCAAGGTTCAAAATGACATATCATAGTTTCATTATTGGAAATCGGTGAACTTGTATAGTTAGTGAGATTTATGAGTAAAATGAATAGAAATAACCTCAAATAAATTAAATATTCTGATGTCAAAATTAACTCTCTTCAAAAAATTGGGAATGTGTAAATAGAAAATTATTCACTTATGCAGCAGATGCTCAGATTTCATGGCTAATTTATTACCCAACTCAGACATTTCACGAGACAACAAAAACAATTTCGTCTGCTTCACAAAGTCAACGTGCCCCCGAAATTTTCTTCAGCTGCAAAATCGATAATAACAAAAGGCGGCTTTTAAAATATCGTCTGTGGTGCTAAAAGAGAAAAATCAACTAGAAATTGAATGGCTAAAAAGAGGAATGAATGAAAACAATTAAATGCAATGAATCAAAATAGTTGACAAAACTTACTGTTGGAGATGACACGTGTGTCTTCCTTGAGCTTCTCGTTTGCTTTATTACTAGACAAACTGAATCACTTTTAATCATGCAGCCTATTTACTTCCTCGACAGAATGTCCTTCCGCGGTTAGAATAATCCATTCAATAACACTACAATCACAATTAGTTTTTCAAATAGAATTTCCGATATTAAATTAAATTTTAGAATGAATTTTTGTTACTTCATATCGACGAACACATTTTTAAAGAATTTATATAATTTTTTTCAAGGGACTATTTTCTCGGATCAGTGATTCATGTTCAAGTGAATAATGTTGTTTTTCTGAATATTCCACATACTTTGAAATCCATGACTAACATCGTGAATCTTATTATTAGAATTAAACGTAATATATATATTTATTTAGCATATATTGTCTAAATTTGGAAGATTTAAAAATTACAGTAGATTAAAAGATAAAGGAATGAAATTTAAAAGGGTGTGCCGCCGGTTACTATGGAAACCCTACCCTATCTAGATATTGAGGATATGAAAGATATTTGAAAATGATGGCACCATTAGCACGGTTCCATTGCATGCAGTATTGATAAAACGGAAGTCACGACCTAATACGCTGGACAGATGGCATGAAACACGAGATGATAAAAGTTTAGATAGAAATTTGACATGAAAGGGTCGGGTTCTAGGTTTGAAATGTTTGAAATTCGAAGATAAACAAAAGAAATCTATAATCTTTATGGCAGAGTATCTTATTTCTACACACATAGCATTCATTCACACTATCATTTGGCAGACAAAGAGCCTCGTGAATATATGTTCATAATGTGTATGCAAAATCTATTGTTATCCCATGTTATACGGGCTTTCTCAAATGGAAATCGACAAAATGTAGGTAATTGTAATATTATGAGCCCATTGTGTTCTCTATTACTTTTTCTGCATGAAATTGAACACACCTCCAGGCTAATGAATGTGGGCAATTGTGTGAAGTGTGTAATGAGGAAAATTTTCCAATTCAGTGTCATTACCAGTGGTTCAACTAGATGAATGGGTTGGGACACCTTCCAAGGGATTTCATTTTTACATATGCTGTCCTCCATTTTTTCCACTTCTCAGGGACCCATGGATTCGGTTCAACCAGTTCCTGTGGAGCCAATAGCCATAACCTTGTAAGTTAGTTAACCTCGGTCTAGTCTATTTTCGATGACTTCAAAATTAAAACCAACATGTACAAAATATTCGTTACAGAATGTGAAGTAGGGTAGAAAATTTAATTGAAACATGTAAACATGTCAGTAAGTATGTAGGAAGTTAAATAAATGTGGGTCATGCTCTCTTATTTCAATTGGGATAATTCAATCTTATGTACAATGATTCAAGTACATTTTTTAGTACAGTAATCTTGTTAGTAGTCTGACTTTTTAACTACATCTTTAGTTTTTTTGGGTTTTTTTTTCTGTGTTTTACAAACATCAATCACTCATGATGTGAATAAATTCGTCCGTCTATTCTAACCAATAAAAACTCTGTTGACAGTGAATCCACTATACAAGTTATTGTTATACTCAATGGATATTCCATAAATCTTAAAAAGTGATACTACGTCTCAGAATGAACATAAAATTTAGGTTCTCAAGAATTGTCAATATGAGTATATATTCATCAGTTAGCTTACCTGGTGTCATAAAGCTACAACAGAATCACTTGGAAAAATTTGAAAATTCATAAAACTAAGTAATTATTACATGTATATATACGCTTGATATTGAGCGTTTTTCAATAGTTAATTGCATATTTTTGGATTTTATAAGGATCTTGTTATGTTATTTATGACACCAGATATATCTACTGGCTCTTACAATTCTTAAATTTTATGTTAATTCTAAGGCGTAGTATCACTTTAAAACCCAGTAAATAAAGCGTTTATTGATCATCAACATTGGCATTTTTAGCGGATCATAGACACTTTCTTATGCTTATACATTTTACGTTTCCTTAGTAAAATATAAAGAAGTTTGGTGGGAATTTGAACCAGTTTCACTAGTTACCAAATCACAAGATAGCCCAATTTATCTCTGTAGACAATATCAATGATCTATGCAGTGAAAGTGTTGAGATCTTCTATAAACCAGCTGGTCTTCTCTGATAAAAGTGTTATTTCCTTTAGATATTTATATTTCTAAACATTTGCCATTCTACCTCTAAAATCAACCCACTAGAGCGTTAAATTGACAGAATTTTCTAGGGGATGATTTGGGTCTTGAATATATGTAAATAACGGTATGCAGTGTGATATGAAGGAAATTTCATCATGACGGTGTCGGTATTACTTTTTGATTTTCAATGCTCGAATAGTTTAGTCTTGATGATTGTTTAAAGATACTTAAATATTCTGTATTCCACTTGTAGATGCTGTTGACTGGCTTGTTCATGATTGGACTTACGGCATGTTGTGTGCTATGAGGGGAACTAGATCAGAACAGCGGTATAAGTTATATATTGTTGATTTTCAAATGTCAAAGATTGTTAGATTGTTATCATCTAAAAAGGAAGCACAGGTTTCCTCGTATACTACACCATATTTCCTCTGTCGTATAGCAGACATGATAACGATCAGATTATCAAATATGTTCAAGGATATTTATTTTCATATCGTGTCATGTTACAACAGAGGATTCGTTATCATTGTTACAATGCTTATTAAAGTAATAATTACAGAAAAATATATAGATTTAAAATCATAAACTCAATTATGTTGAGTTAGAATAAAAGACAACTGTACAACAGTTTTTATACTTTAAGCTGATATAAATTAGGAATGATAACATGTATGTTAGTCTTGTTCAAAAAATTTAAAAGGAGCCTTAATGAAATTTAAGCTATTTCGGCTTGTGCAAGAAGATTCGAGCCACTCTAATTGGTGAATATAATGTCTTTGTGTCGACGAAGCTAGAGCTCTAATTACTATGTATTACCGTATACGTATCTAGTAGATCATACCAAGTTATTATCATGTAGAAAAGTAAGATGAGCATAATAACATGGTTAACAGGTTGTCAGAAGGTAACAATAGGTGTATTTCACTATGGAATTAATTAATAATTTATCATTAACCCATGTAATTAGAGATATATCGTAATCCTTTCCTAGACGATAAGTAATCCTTTGTCTATTATGATGCTGAAAGTAAAACTCGATGAATCTTCGTAGATGGCAGGTTAACATCCGCTTCGAGCTGATTTTGATACCACAGACTGTACTGTAGATTGGCTCTTCATGCTTTAGAATTTGTAGTAGTCTTTTGACACAGAATACTGGTTTTCCCCGGTTAGTGATGCAGATTAGGAGGGCCGACATGGAAAAAGCATCAAGTCGTTCGGATGGAACAAACCGAGGCCATGTGTGCTACAGGCTGTGCACGTTAAAGATCCATCGACAATTGAAAATCGAAAAAGAGTAGGCTTATGCGGCTGTCCTTGCAAAATGTCCCTCATTGCACCCTGCATTGTGTTGTCCTTTCCATTAGCCCACAAGGTGCAGAAAAGTAGGACGCAAAACTCCATTCATTTCATTGACGCAGACTACTGTTTGGTTAAATTTGGCATGATACTGATATTTTTAAGAGCGCTAATCTATCTGCAACACCTAAAGAATTAATCATAAGGAGTTTTTATATTTTGTAAAGATATGATCAGTTGTTTTTGTGCAAAATAAAACTTGTTTGTCTTGATTCTTCTCGTCTTTTTTCTCAATTTTCATAGTATTCTGAACAAATGTTGGTGGGATTGAGGCTCGTACCACTAGTTTTGACGTGGGTATAAGGTATAGCCTATAGTTATGGTCATTTCAGTCTGTGGATATAAAGGCCCTTGCCCTTCTGCAAAAATCTGGAACACTAAAATCTTAAGTTGAAAATTTGTCAAACAGACTCAAGGAGAGTTTTTCTTGGAGTGGACTACTGGCTGGTTTGATATGCCCTCTCTGTGTTCCTAGGTTAATTTAAGTATTGTTTAAAGAAGAATCTTACGGTAAACCTAGCCAACCTTAAGGTTGTCCTGAATTTTTTTAAAACCCGGCCTGGGTGTGAGTTGAAATCAGCTGGGGTTAGAAATAATACCAACTGTGCAGTTAATCTGTAATCACTTTTCCAGCGAACAATGTTTCAATCCTAATAAGATACTGTTGTATTTCATTGTCTTACAATACATATTTTGTGTTTGTATTTCCTTATCTTTCTTTTGTTGCTAAGCTCAAAAAGCCCCAATTATAGTTCCCATGTTCCAGGTTATCGTGGCCAAGAAAAAGATTTATTTGCAGTTCGCACTTACTCTGTTCATTCTGATTCATTTTATTTTTATATTTTTAAGACAATATAAATGGTTCATTTTCCATTGGAAACTACAAGATCTCGACCCAAACTTACAGATCGGGCTGTTTATTAATTGTTATTAACTACTAATGCAAATATTTACACGACTACAGTCCTTGGCAAGAAAATCTACCACTTTTTAAAACTTTTCCTCATTCGTCAGGGCATGGTGTCACCATGATTGTATTTTTCTAAATATGATATTGATTTATTTCCATGTATAGAAGTTAGCTGAACACATTTTACTCAAGTTACGAAATCTCATTATATAGATTATGACATTCTGGTAGGAATAAAAATGTAAAATAGTAGACCTAAAAGTTTGCCAAGATGTTTTGGCAGTTTGTCGAAATTGTTTTTGTAGTTGGTAATTTATTGCATACATTTATATGAAATATGCATTGTGTTTGTGTTGTTAAAATAGTCAAATACTCTTATTGAGATTACAACTTTATTACCTATAGTATGTTACCTATTTCTCTATACCTAACAATAGCATTGTAATGGTATGGCCTATAAAGGCATGTTACTGGTTTATTCACATATTGCTCCTTCCCGTTTCGCCCATTTCCAATTCCCATTTACCAACTTCCCCTTTGAATCAATGCATTATTTTATTGTACCAAATGTAATAATAATGAAAGAATATTCTTTTAAATTGCATTTAATTAGGTTTTAAGCTTTAAATGGGTGTGTTTATTTTGGTGCCGTGCCTTACATAGGCTCGCTTATTTTAGTTGAAACCTTCAAAATAAGTAGGGAAAATATTTCTCTACATAGGCTACTGATGTTTATTTTCCTTAAATCCGTACATTAGTTTTCCAATATTTACAAAAATCAGACAAAAAAAAACGGGGCGACTGTAAAATGTCATCTTTACTATGTCAAACTACGACGAATTTCGCCTTATACCTTGACTACAATATCCACCTTTCTTGTATCACATAATGCAGCGATTTGATTGAATTGTGACGCCAGCGGATACAGCCAACCAGAATCCTCGACAGAAAGACCGTTAACATTTGCAGACTTTCTGTCGATAGTTATTTGACGTGTTCATCTTTTAGATTTGTTGCTTTTAGTTTGTAAAAGTCTCCTTCCTATTATCATCTTGAATAATCCCATACAACCGGTTGTACAAGGAAGGTGGTGTTACTCAATGTCATGGGAAATAAACAGTTAAGCTATAATAAAAATTTGTTTCTTTGATTTTCTCTGAACTAAAGGGTGTATATAGTTTGACGAAAAGAAAATTGGATTGAATATAATTGGACAGATATTAAAGGAAAAAATAGAGTGATAGCCTAAGTTTGTACACAGGGAAGATTTTAAAAAGAAGTAATACCAACAGAACGTCATCTTGGCTGCAAGACCTCAGCATTTAGTGAAAATAGGTCTTTACAGCTCAAGGTGGACGTTGGGTTCCTGAATTTATAAAAGATTGTCAATTGCTCACCTTAAATGTTTAATGCTTCCACACGTTAGTGGTAGTTCCTGTTTTCATTTTGCCAAGCAATTCGATCATAACCATCGATTTTAAGAAGAAATATTGAGTTGGAATATCAAATTATGAGGTCATATTCAGAATATTTATAAATCTATTTACAAGGAGAACGTGTCATAAAATTCCAAAGAGTTAATATCTCAGCAAATCCCTCAGGATTACTTAAAACCCCAATTTCCATGATAAAGCCGAAAGAACCAAGAATTGTATGATGCAGATATATCGATTATCGGTTATAGTATTTTAAATAAAGGCATAAAATGTTATTTGATGTCCGTCGATGAACTTCAACCTAGACTATACCTATGACCATTTCCAAAACGGAACATCGTACGTCAAAACATTTCTTTTTGATCAACTGATTCTCGTCACCTCCGCCTGTTATTGACACAATTATTGACACAATTATTGAGACTGGACGACACGATCCCTTGAAAGTTGCTCATTTAACAGAAAATTATCATCCATTGATTGTAACGAATACGAACGCATAGAAAAACGTAATGTAATAGCAGCTTATCAAATCGCAGTAATGATGTACTCCAAACCGCTCGTATAATATTATCATACCGCGTTGGCTTACCGAAATGAGCAGAATAACATAGCTTATCTTTGTTTTGATTAATTTATAATGATATGTAATGATGGCCGTCTTCATAGAATTTAAAATGTTATGATGCCCGTCTACATTATATTAGGAAAGTACTGACACCCGTCTTCAGAGAAGTTTAAAAGTAATGACGTCTATTTGAGAAAAGGAATGTAAAATCAATTCTTAAGTTGATACAAACGTCGCTACTATATAACTGTATAACATATATACACTATTATACGATGTCAAGTAGAGGATATAAGTAATTAAAATGTCCCACCCAGTAAGGAAACAGGTTTCAATCAAATTGGAAAGATTGGTGACAACCTAATTACTCTGTTATTATTATTCATTATACGAACACTACTGACCTAATCTTCAGGAGTGAAAGCATAGACTTGTAAGGTCATTTCATGAAGGGTCCGTGACTTTTTTTTTAAATCGTCCTTTCTTGAGACTCCGCTATCTATAGAATTAGTAAGTTGGAGGTATATTTGAAGGGATTAGGCGATTTTCGTGCAGAGAAGTACCTCTGAAGACTATGTACATATTGAAGATCCAAATCAACCCCCGAAAATGACGAATCATGCCTTTTGGAAAAGAGTAGGAAGAATGAGAAAGCATTGTGGTCAAGTTGGTCTCACACTGAAAACAAATATTAGGAAAGAAATTTTATTTGGTTAGCATAATTTTCAAATTTAAATTCAATTTACAATTTCCTGCCAGTTCAATTTTTTAACTTTATAATTACAAAATGTTTTATCAGTAGATATTTTGATGGATGGAAATCAACAATCATCAATTACAAAAGTAATTACCTCCAGGCTTATTAATATTCAAATATAGAAACTTGTAACCCTTAACCCTAAAAATTATGACAAGACAAACTAAACAGGTAAGAGCTCAGACTCTTCAAAAATGAAGGGTTAATACACCCAGTTGCATCAAAGTTTTATGTGGTAAAAAGCGTAATCATGCCCTGCCAGGTTATAAACATGTGACACAGTGATAGTATTAAAATGCAAATAATGATTTATGGCCTCTGGAGAAGGTTTGCCTTGATTTGTTTTAAAGTAAAAAATGAAACGGACTGCTTGTTTGAATAAACATATTTTGGTTCGAATATATTTCAATGATGTAATACTCTACACTCTAAGCTCAACTGAAATTGTCAAATCATAATAAAGAAATAATAGCACAATTAAATAAATTGAACAAAAAAAAATTGTTAACTCAAGAAGAGACAATATAAATTAGTTGATATCCTGTGGAGACTTTCTTGCTATTTTCTTGTATTTCTACTATTTGTTTATCGAAATCTATATGGAATACAGAATTATCAGGAATTTTCACTTTTCCTTCTTCCTGATTATGGAAGTTCGGCATCTTTCTGTGACCAGTTTCAGGATCTTCATATCTAAGAATCTTTATATTTTCAGCATCTTAAAAAAAGAGTCCTGAATTAAAATACTGGAAAGGGAATCACATGAATAAATCTGACTCCAAACTAGCAGATTGTAACAGATAGCAGTGAGTAACCATTGATCTCATGTCTAAGAACATAACATTGCTTGCATATTTTTGGAGCATGATAAAAATGTTTAAATTACTTGTTCAAGGTACTCTGTAAATGTAGCAATGTTTTAAAGTATGACTGAAAACATTTTTCATCTAAAACTGAAGGGTTGTCTATGGTCATGACAATCTAATTCAAATTTACATGAATTATTGATGAGACAATTAAATGCCTAAAATAATTTTAATTCTTCCACTTCATATACCATTTTGGAAGTAGTGGTTCGCTCATTCTTTATCAATCTGAGCCCTGTTCCTCAAAATATTAACTGAAAATTAGCATTTTTCTTCACTTAACATGCAAGTTTAGTCCTACAATTTTTTTGAGAAACAGGCTCCAGATTTCTACCTGCTATATGTTTCTGACTGTATACCAACCAATAACTGTCAAACATAACTATCCTGCTTATAATGTTGGCAAATTTCAGAATAGTAGCAAATCAAAACCAAAAATCTTTAGTACGGATCACAGATTAAACAGATAGTGTAATACAACTCACCTTTTATCTTGGAGCGTTCTAACTTTGATAATCTAGACTTTATTTTACTAGTTGTATCATTTTGAAAGATAGGTAGAGATATTTCAAATAAACCAGTAGATTGTTGAGGATTGACAAATCTTACTCTGACTGAAGGCTGAAAAAAACAGTCACTGTCATTTTTATCTTTTCTTCAAATAAAATAAACTAAAATAGTCAGCCGAGCCAATATTGGTATTTATATATCATCATTTATGAAGTTTTTTAAATTCAATCATTATTAAATGAGATTGCAGGTGATTTAGATAATGATGATGTACCAGGCATTTAAGGCTGATTAGTTAAATACAATACCTGTTCAGTGAAAGTCATGAAAGGTTTTCCTGGACAGCATTCTTCTTTCACCTTATCATCTGCCTCTTCAGAATATCTTATATCAATTCCTTCCAACTATAACATATATCACAATATTATATCAATTCCTTCCAACAATAACATATACCACAATATTATATCAATTCCTTCCAACTATAACATATACCACAATATTATATCAATTCATTCCAACTATAACATATACCACAATATTATATCAATTCCTTCCAACAATAACATATATCACAATATTATATCAATTCCTACCAACTATAACATATATCACAATATTATATCAATTCCTTCCAACTATAACATATACCACAATATTATATCAATTCCTTCCAACTATAACAAATACCACAATATTATATCAATTCCTTCCAGCTATAACAGATATCACAATATTATATCAATTTCTTCCAACAATAACATATATCACAATATTATATCAATTCCTACCAACTATAAAATATACCACAATATTATATCAATTCCTACCAACTATAACATATATCACAATATTATATCAATTCCTACCAACTATAAAATATACCACAATATTATATCAATTCCGACCAACTATAAAATATACCACAGTATTATATCAATTCCTACCAACTATAACATATATCACAATATTATATCAATTCCTACCAACTATAAAATATACCACAATATTATATCAATTCCTACCAACTATAACATATATCACAATATTATATCAATTCCTACCAACTATAAAATATACCACAATATTATATCAATTCCTACCAACTATAAAATATATCACAATATCATACCAATTCCTACCAACTATAACATATATCACAATATTATATCAATTTCTTCTAACTATATTACATCACAATATTATATCAATTCCTACCAACTATATTATATCACAATATTATATCAATTCCTACCAACTATATTATATCACAATATTTTATCAATTCCTTCAAACTTAAAAAATATATCACAAATTCCTTACCTCTAAGGTTGAAACCAAGTATTTTAGATTAACTTCTAATACTTCCTTTTCATTATATTCTGTTGTAAGATTGAATGCTTTTACTCCACATTTAGAAAAGTTTTCCTGGAAAGAAATGTTATAGATTCAAACATATTGTAAGGTCATATCACAGGCATATGGCGTAGTTTATTAACAATATGAAGAAGGGCATCATCTTATTTGTTACTTTCTATTTGGTAAGTGCTTGTATACATGAACATTAGGGAAAGGGCTTTAAAATTTAAATTTTTTAAATTCAAACTGAAAAAATTATTTAAGAATTATTAATGATATAAGCTTATAATGAGAGTATTTAGGTACGAGATGACATGTTATCTTGTGTTCAAAAAGTTGAAGTCGATACTGGCTGGAGATTTATAATACCAGTATTGTTGATGTAGTGTTAATGAATGCAACATATTTTACCTTTAATATCTGAACAAAAGGCATGACTTTCTTGTTATATTTCTTCAATTCTGGTTTTGAATGGAGAGCTCCTGCTATTACCTTATTATCTGGCATTTCTTTCTTTTCCTACAAATAAACATAAAAATATTTACAGATTAAGATAAATTGAATTGATTTTAAGAAATCATAATCTGCACCTTTTAAGCTAAGAAATACATGCATTGCCATGGAGTAACCAATGAGGGAAATTTTACAAAAAAACAATATGAGATCATATTCTATGCTTTCCAAAAGAAATTTATTGTGCACATCATGTACCCTTTATAATGTTCTATGCATGGATTGCACTAAAGACATGGATGTAAGTTAGCAACCCCTTAACTTGCTGTTTGACATTGGCTTTGATAATTATCACAAGGTTTCAGTACGGTATAGATATAAGAGATTGTGTATATAGTATATATATATATAAGAGATCTACTGTATTCAATCTTTATGAAAAGACAGAAATTTAAGTTGGTTACCTCATACATCTGTTTTAAAGTTGTAATAACTGTCATCTGCCATGGTGGGTATGTTTTAGCTACCCATATAGTACCATGAGTAGGAGTAATTGCTACTTTCTGTAATGTATAGATATATAATAACAAGACCCAAAGAGAAATCATTATTTTCATTTCATCAACAAATAACTTGTAACATACATGACTTGTTGAAATACGTCACAAAGAATAGACAAAGAATAAAAATTCTTAAGACTAATTAATATCAATGTTCGCCACTACAGCCTACAATTTTCATTTTCAAGCGTTGAGAGGTACTTGACATGCACAGCCTGAAGCTCAAGTGGACTTCCATTATTGTGTCATCCAAAGGACCAGACATTTTTCAATGTGGATTAAATACAATACTGACAGGAGATTGGAAAATTAGATCATCCCGACCTAGGTTAGGATTGAATAGGATGAAAAGGATAGTATTAGACTCCTATTTCAAACATTTTTTTGGGACTAATTGTCAAAGAATATCATCTACAAGGAACATTACCTTTCCTTTTCCTGGTGCCATAGCTGTTTTTAATCGTAGTCTAAATGAGTGTGTAGACTCTGTTAAATAGGCTGAAGATTGTATTAATATATTATCTATAGGTCCTTCTACTGGCCATCTACTCCTCATAATACTCTCTTTCTGTAAATAGTCAATGTATCAAAATTACTATTCTGCATCAAATCATAATTCATGCTATGAAATTGAATAAAGTGATTTTTACATCCTATTATCCTACAAATTATTTAGCTGAATAAATGGGGCAAGATTTGTAAAAAAAAGTAATTTCACTTTCTAAATGTCATAGCATAGTGGAGAGTATTCAAAATTACAGTAAAAGGAGTAACAACTTACCTGTCCCATTAAAGCCCAGATATGTTCACAAACATGAGGACAAATAGGACTCAATATCAAAACTTGATTACATATAAACTGAAATACTAGATCTATATGCATTCCCTTTATTTCTACTTCTCTATATGTATCTCTTAAAGCCTGAAATATACAAACAGTTTATCACATGAAATGAATTTGACTTTGAAACCCATTTTTGTACTGCAGATTGGGCAAATAATATTTGACAACTCTATTCAGATTGCAATGACAGATATATTGCCAGGTAAGTGGTATTAGCAGTTTTGGACTTTCTGTCAAGACATCTTTTACATACATGTCTGTATTATAAAGGGCCTAAAATAGAACACACTTAAAGCCTTTCCAGATCAGCCCCTCTGCCCTGTATCACTGACACTAAATTGTCTGTTTATTAGCTTCACAGACAAGAGGATGTCAATTTCAGCTAGCCAATGTTTACCTACTACTCAGAAAACTTGCTATAAATTTTACCAAAGTGGCTTATTTGAATGTTAATGCTAGATAACACCAAGGATCTATCTTCATGAAACAAATGATTAACTTACTGACCTGGAATTCAAAGAATCCCGTTCTTAAAGCTTCTTTAAACATATACTTCTCATAATAGTCTCCAGTTTCTTTCATAGCTTTATTCATTTCACTGTAACAAAATATCAACATTATTATTTGTTTGTATTTGGACTGAAAACTAGAAACATATCCAAATTTGATTAATTTCTCAGACAAAAATTGGTCATTTCCCACAATTTCCATAATCACATGTAGATCATTAATTGAAAGGAAAATGAATCTGATTGGATGATAAGGCTCTGTCATGCAGACGATAAAACAAGCAGCAACAAATCAAAATGGTTTGATATAATAAATCCTGTCAGCAAGTCAAAAATCTTGATGTGGAAGCACAGGCACAGGCAACAAAGACTGTTTATCTGCTAGCAGAATTAACATCAGATATCGGAATATTCCTGTTCAATGAGTTAGCGGAGTCATACATTTGAAAGTAAATTTCCAAAACTAACTGTCCTAAAGATTATATACAAAAACCAATGTTGGCAGCATGAAAAAAAAGATATTTTTCTGAACTACTAAAATAAGTACCTTAAAAAGACCTTGTCATTAAAAGTATATTCACTAATAGGACCTGATCTTAATGTAAGTTTGATAGATAATATTTCTTTCACCCATTCTAAAAACGTAAACAATCTTAATAATCCAGCATCGGCCATTTTCTCCACAAAATTAGCATCTTCTATACCATCTCCAGCATCAGCAAGTGAAAATCTCATTCCTGGAAAAATAACGGTTTATATGGTATCGTTGCCTTTCCAATCAAGTTTTACTTTCTTGGCAGATTAAGGTTAGATGGTTGGCATGGAAAATTTTGACGTTATTGACAAAATTGATCCTTCAACTGGAACAATTTCAAATTCATCAAAATCTAACTGGATTAATCAAAACTGAAATTTTGTGCAAGTTGCTTATGAAATTGTTCAATCTAAATTAAAGCCCTGCTACAGTTATCAGTATAATATTTAAAATACTTACCATCAGCTGAGTATTTATATATAGCATCTTTTAATGTTAAATAGTTACCAGTTGATTTTGACATCTAAAATAAATATTACATACTCTATAGAAAATACAGATAATTTACATCATAAGTATATAATATGAAGATGTTAAGCTAAACCTTCTTGGACCTAGAATTGATGTTTAGTTTGATTCCAATATGACAATGTGAATTTGACACCTCAAATAAAAGTAGTATTCACCTTTTCTGAATTTAGTAACAGATGACCATTGGCACGGATTCCTTTCGGCCATTTTGAACTGAAAAAAATAGTAATAGTTAGAGACATAATGTATTTCAGAAGTGTAAGTTGAGTTTAAATAAAAGTAGCAGTCAGAAACCATTTGAATTTTAAGCAAAAAGTATGATGCAACAATCTATGTTAAATGACACCAGGCAAAGCCTCAAATGCAAATCAGATACTCAATTATGACAAAATCGAATGTAGAAAAGATTTAGATGGACAGCTAAATAGTAGGCCTAAGTGTAAAAGTCGTTTTTGCAAACTATCAAGTTTGTGCAAAAGCCATCTAGTAAGTGTAAAAGCCATCAAGTTAGTGTTAAAGCCATCAAGCTAATGTAAAAGTCATCAAGTTAGTGTTAAAGCCAACAAGTTTGTGTTAAAGCCACCAAGTTAGTGTAACAGCCATCAAATTTGCATAAAATACATCAAGTTCGAATAACAGCTATCAAGTTAATGCCAAAGCTATCAAGTTTGTGTTAAAACCAACAAATTAGTGTTTAAGCCATCAAGTTAGTGTTTAAGCCATCACGTTTGGGTAAAAGCTATCAACTTACTGTAAAAGCCTTCAAGTTGGTGATAAAGCCCTCAAGTTTGTATAATAGCCATCAAGTTTGTGTAAAAGCCATCAAGTTTGTGTAAAAGCTATCGAGATAGTATAAAAGACATCAAGTTTGTGTAAAAGCTATCAAGTTTGTGTAAAAGCCATCAAGTTTGTGTAAAAGCTATCGAGATAGTATAAAAGACATCAAGTTTGTGTAAAAGCTATCAAGTTTGTGTAAAAGCCATCAAGTTAGTGTAAAAGCCATCAAGTTTGTGTAAAAGCCATCAAGTTAGTGTTAAGGCTATCAAGTTAGTGTAAAGGCTATCAAGTTAGTGTAAAAGACATCAAGTTTGTGTAAAAGCCATCAAGTTAGTGTAAAAGACATCAAGTTTGTGTAAAGGCTATCAAGTTTGTGTAAAAGACATCAAGTTGGTGTAAAAGACATCAAATTTGTGTTGATTGTCATCAATTTTGTGTAAAAGCCAACAAGTTAGTGTAGAAGACATTAAGTTTGTATTATAGCCCTCAAGTTTGTGTAAAAGTAATTAAGTTTTTGTAAAAGCCATCAAGTAAGTTAAAAAGCCATGAACTCACCTATCTTCTGGCCAAATAGCACAATGATTATACATAAAATATGTTAAATGATTGGGTATCAAATCTTTTCCTGAACATCGTACATCTACTGGATACCAATAACTAAATTCATTCTTTAGTTTATCTAATGTAGCTTTAGGTATTTTAGTTTTCTTAGGAAATTTAGCAGAACTAAAGAAAATATAATCCCATACTTCATCTGTCATTTGGTCTGCTCTGAAATTACATATCAGTATTTGGTAATTTCCTCAAATTTACATTTAACACTGTTTTGGTTAAGAAAACAAATTCCTTACAATTTTCAAAAGGGTGGTAACTCTATGTATGCCTTTTCACAGCCAAACATTACCAAAACAGCCAAATACCAACCGAAAATTTTAAAATTTCAATGATTATGTTTCCAAAATAGCAAAAAAGACAATGTTTTTTTTTTATAAATGTCTTTTAAGCATGGTATGGCTCATAATTTTTTATGCGAAAATGTGGCTAGATTATCGCAATCTATTTTAGTCAGTGAGTAAACAAGTTTTTTAGCTTTTTCCCTCCGATTTCAGTAAAATTGATCCCCAAGCACACAATCTCAGTTAGAAACATCAATTAATCAAACAATAAGCATAATTTGACCAAGAAAAATAAGCAAAGGCAACTCTTGATCAAATACTAAGAAAACTTGGTGAGAGTCATAAAAATATAAAATCATAAATTGGTCATCAGAATCAGAATGTACCAACAAAAAGATAGTGTTTGAGATTATCTTGGAGCAGTTTTGAGATCTTTTAGAATGACAAAGCTAGTTGTCTGCAGATATAAAAGTACATACTTGATATTAGCTGGTCCAACCTTGCTACCATCTACTACACCACCTTGTAATAGATGAGCTACTGTATAGAATGACATGTATATTGTGGAATCTGATAGAGATTCTATCAAATACTGTGGATCCCAAGGCAACTTAGTACCTGAAAATACAGATTTATAATCTTGGAATATTTCAAATGTACTGTCAAAGATTACTCTGAATGTCAAAGTCAAGGTCAAGATGTCAAGCAAAAATGCTGCTTTATCACTGGAGATAATAGTGGGTGTCTCATACAGAGCTAACTAAGCATACTAAGCAAGCTAACCATGTGACTCATAAAGCAAATTTAACCATCCTCACCATTTTGGCGAAGTGGAAAAAATTGCCCACTGTATTCCCAAATATGATTAGTTGGTAACCGTGAGGACCACTCAAAGTTCTACAACATTTATTCTTGTGTTAAAAGAGCAAGATTGTTATGAAAAGTTCCCTTACCTAAACCGTATGATCTTGAACAAGCATACTCATGTAACCAATCTACGGTGGCCATTAAGTTTTTCCTAGTATCATCTGTAAAAGTTTCTAATTTATTGATAGCTGTTAATGTCTCTTGTTTCCATTTCTCTTCACCATAATCTAAATACCTATAATATATAGAAATATTAAAGCGTTATATTACTTATATATCACATTTTTTATTTCAAATGGATTTTTATCTTAACTTAAAAATCAAAAGGGGGTTTTACATCCTATTTTTTTTTATCTGAGTGGGCTAATGATGACAGGCAATGTCATGCAGTACACAATGAGAGATTGTTTTTCAATTTCCATCTGTCAAAGGATTTATTAAGTTCAAAGCCTGCAGGGCTTATCTCTTTCAAAAGACAGGATGCTATTTCAAGGGCAACCACATTGACAGGTTAAAATCAAATGGAAAATATGCAGGTGGTAACTCAATCTATAGTAGAGTCAAAGACCATACCCCTAAGTTAGTGAGAAAGCCTTATTCAATCCTATATCAAACTGTTAAATAATCATAAAGACATACCACTGATCACACAATGCTACAATACATTCATCATTAGATCTAGACATAACTAATTTTTCTGGTTCTTGATACACCACAGCTTCTTTCTAAAAAAAGAATTAAAAATAGAACACTTACTAATGATGTATTGTTAAAAATAAGACAAGCAGCAAATATTTTTTTCCCTATCAAAACACATCACAGTTATCATTATCATTATTATAGCAGAGCTTACATTCAGTACTATCCTTGGTTGGTGTGAATTTATCACAGTCCTAAAAGTTTGTTGAAATTCATCCAAAAATTGATTGTCAAAAATCAGGAGAAACAATCATCAACTTATCATCGCACAGCCAATTTGGAATGTTGTAGTACTGACCTAAAGAATTATCACTTTTATTGATGTAAGGCATGCCACATGTTTTCATGGGAATCGGTGAGATAGGTGTGTTCGATTTCTTGTTCCAGTGATCTTAAATATGATTTCATCTGATAGAACATGACACATGTAAAGCACTGTGAATTGAACATTTCCTGGGACGCTTTGCAATTTTCAAAAATAAATATTAAAGAAGTTGTCAAAGATTTGAAGGATTTTCATATGGAAAATATACACTGTATCAACAGACTTAAGCATAGACTTACTCTATCAATCATTAATTTCTTCAGACTAGCTTTAACATCTTTAACTTTCTGTCCTTCATATCCTTTTACTACCATTACCTGTTTAAAAAAAAAGGGTGAAATAGACATATAATATAAAGTTACAAGCAATGCATCTAGGTAGCTCATTACGTATTTAGTAATTAGTCAAAAACATCAAACATTAACCTAAAGTAATAGGATAATTTAATCCAGAATTACAGCAAGAATGACATTTTTTAGGATGATCACTTGCTCTTTCCATTGACACCTAGCTTTATTTATTTATTATTTATTTTCATTTTGAAGTTCTAAGGATAGTGGTTGAACATGTTCCATTAACTTTGTTGATATCTGGACTAATAATCAAAAATAACATACCCCTTCATAAAAACCCTTCATATACACCATTTCTTTAGCTTCTTGTAATTTATCTTTATCATTCTGGGACTGTATCTTTAATTTATCACAGGCTACAATAGCTGAGAGAGTACCAAATTCTGGCACATCTATTATAGGTACCTATAATCAATGAAATATACTTTTTTTTTTAAAAAAAGGCTAAAGAAATATACCATTAAAAAATAAAATGAGAGTTCTATATCATAATTTTTGGATATAATGTGTGGCTAATAATGTAATACAGTGTGCAATGAAGGAAGTTCTGCCAAGACAGCTGCATTAATCTAATGTAAGTCTGTAACAATGTCCTTGTTAATTGTCAAGTATTGGGACAGAAAGAGTAGGAATTTAAAAGATGGCATTCTAGAGTACAATATTCCTTATGACAAAAAAATCCCAAAAAAACCCAACTCATTCCAAGCTTTTAACAAGAATCAATTTCTGATATTAAATCTTCTACCAGCTTAAAAAAATGTACAGCTTTTGGGAACAGAATGATACCTTATAATAAACATTTGGAAATGGTAATTAAAAAATACAAAAATATTTCTGAAGAAGTACTTACAGGTTCAAAAGGCAGGACCATTTCATCTGTTATTCCATACTTCTCTCTTAGAGGCTGATAAACACAAATATAAATATTAATTATTATCAAAGCAAATAAGCCATTGTATATGCACTGTTTTGGTATTGCTATACAACTATTCAATAGAAAACCAGAATTTCTATTATATAATAAGTCAAATGTAATGTTGGAATGTATATCATTATTAGAACTTGTTGGTGGCACTCACTTGGTGAGTTCTGAATGGTTTCCATCAGTTCCAATTTTGTCCATCAAATGGTAAGGAAGCTGATTTGTTAACATTCAGAATTTTCCCTTCTATTCCTTTCTCTGCCATGTTAAATTCTGTCTAGACCTACTTTTTTTGGTCCTAGAGGAATGTATTCTGATTTAACTTGTTTTATTGAACTTACAGTATATTCCATGAATCCTGAATGTGCAGAACTCACCAATTAAGCATCCGTCTATACTATATATAAACAAAACTTACTGCTTTTTTCTTTAAATCTCTAAGAGCTGCGAAATCATCAGGTGAATCTGAGGGAACACTAGTTACTACTCCAGTACCTGTATTTACAAATGATAAGTTATCTTGACTATAATCATATAGGTCATTCAAAATATATTTTTTAACCTTACAGATATGAAACGAAAAAGAAATTTTGTTCATGATTTGGCTGATGTGCAAAACCATGCAGTGTACAATAACAAAAATCTTCTCAGGACAGAAACATTAGCTGACTTTATCTCTTACTATAACTCACATCATAAAGCTATGGCATAGAAAAATATTATATAACATATAAATCAAATCTACTGTTAATCAATTCAATCTGTGACTTATAATATATATATATAAGAAGGGAATACCTTTATCTTCTTTAATAGTTAACATTGGTAACGTATAAATAACATCATAACATGTTAATGGCCCTGATAACTTTATACCCATAATATCCTACAAGAAATTTAAAATAATATAACAGAACACTGAGCTACAATACTTTATATAGTGCAAAATATAACATTACACTGAGCTACATATAATACATAATATCATGCAAAATATTTAACGTAATATAACACTAAGCCATAATACATAATATACATTAAAAAAAATATCATAATATAACATAAGATAGTGGACCACAGCATGCGGATGGTAAAAACGAAACATCCATTTTAAGTTTCATCAAAATTGGTTGAAAACTAAGAGAGTAATAGCATAATCAAGAATTTGGGTCAAGGGCAATAACTCTGCTTCTAACGGTCGAAAATAGCTCAAATTCGAACTTGATCTTCGTTTTTTGAATATGTATACACATATCCTACAGGATAAATTATATTACTGAGATATACATAATGTATAACAGAATATTGAATCATATACATTATAATGAAACAATTCAACCAATAGATAAATCCTAAACATTACATGAAATCCAAAATTTAGACAGACATGTCAATAATAATGCATCAAAAACATATCAAAGAGCTGCTTTATTTTGAACATGGGCATCCCCTTTTAAATATATATTTTTTCATAAAAATAGGTTGAAAACTGCATAGGCAAAGCATTTAGCAATAAACAAATGACAATTTTTGTCACAAAAAAATAACACAAGCAAGATTAACGACTAACGTACCTGACCAATTAAATCTACCAAGACCTCAAATTGACCATTACTTTTAGTAAAACCTTGGTATGACATATTACGTGCAGCACGAGTTGTACAAATAAATACTTGATTATCAATGATGTCTACTGCTACATACTTCATATCAGGTCTAATCCAACAGTTAGTCTGTCCAAACATAGTCTCTGGTCTTAATGTAGCAGCTACTAAATAGATCTTCTTTTTACTTAGTTTTCTAGAATTGATATAGATTTAATTGAAATGAAATTGTTATGCTAGGAAGTTCAATTTAAGCTATCTGTGTCACTTTTCAAAACAAAAAATCCTACATTCAAGATTGTAAAGTTGAAAATGCCATGGAAGTTGGGAAAGTATAACTTGGCACCACTACTTGGAATCAATAGCAATCCTCCAGACTAGAAAACAAAGGTATTAGCCATAGGGTCACATCAGCTACTAATTGAATCGTCAATATGAACATTAAATTATAATAAAAATTAAAACTTACTGTAATTTTGGTGGTAAAGGATCTAATACTTTCAACTTAATTAAGGTATATTCTTGTGGTCCCACACCCTACAATATCAGAAATAGATGAGTAAGATTCTGGCCAGTCAGAGGATGGAAGCAAGTGTTTAAGTGTCCAATCTGTAATAGTAACTATGACAGTTAGACTTAAATTTTATATTTTTGGATATGGACTATTAAGGAGGCTTCAAGGATATCTAAATACTTCAAAGATAAAAGAATTTTAAAAAATTAAGCTCTTAGTATTCCATTCTGACATCACAGTGAGTCATTGAGATTTAGAGATGGCCTTATCTATTCGTTGGTTTAGTCTTTAGTAATCAGTCTGACAGGCTTTTTCCTACATAAAAAATCTGCAGTTTCCGTCCTGTTGCTATTAAATGGACACAACAAACATGTCTTAGGAATAAGTAGCTCTGCTTACTTCGTTTTTTTTCACCCAATAATGCGGAAATGAACAGGCAGCTGCTGGAATGTCAAATGACATCAAAAGTAATTCCTGTAAATCTCATAATAGATTCTACATTATATGAATATATAGATAAATATGGCACTAACCTCTCCTGACTGTCTGTCATGATCCATACAAGGTTGATTATCTTTAGGTGAAAATATGGTATACCTTTAAAGAGAAATGATAATAATTGAAATTTATTTCATTGAGCACCTTGAAATAGTCTTGAAAAAAAAAATCCTAAACTAGACAATAAACAATCTAATAAGAATATTCACAACGTCTCCAAATAACCCCATTTAGCTACCTTCATCTAACTTGACTACCAGTAGTAAGAAAATATTTAAAAAAAAATGGTATATAGGATTGCTTACAACATAAAAAAAATCTTAAGACATAATTAATTTTTGCACTATCATTTTCATCGAAGTGAATTAATTGATTGTGACCTAAAACTTACTCACAAATCCCTTGACAGATCAATATGGACCTTGTAATGCTTATGAAAAATAAATTACTACAATACCTTTTACCAAATTTGATCCTATCTCTAGCTTTTAAATGATTAAATTGCCAGCGAACAAATGAATCATAATATGGATTAGCATCAGTTGTTATGAATGATCTTCTCCAATCAACCTATAAATATAATAGCTAGTTTATAGTCTTGGTTGAATGAATGAATGAATGAAATTTGATAGTGCACAAAGCTAGATTGCAGGTACTAAGTGAGTTCTCAAGTATAGATCACAGAATGAGTCTCTGTGTTTTTGATTCTGATCTTCGGATGTCATCTCAAAAGCCCCTAATTTCAGTTAAACAAATTACATAAAATTGTCTTGGTTTGCCTCCAGTCACAATGATATAACTTGTTCACAAAATGTTTCATTAACTGGACAAAGGGCTGGAAAGAGTTTGAAAAAAATGGCAGAAGATTTTGAAAAAATCGAAATAAAATAACTAAGAATATTCACTGATAAAATAGTGTTCAATATATCAATTGTAGAGCGATATATAGAAATAGAAATTTCTTAATGTTCATATTTTCTTGTCTATAAACTTCAAAGCAAGAAAAACTGAAGCTAATAACTCAACAATTACCTACCTTTATCCCCATTCCTTTCAAATCATTGATAGCATGTGGTGGGAAGTATTTCAACCAATGAGCAGGATCAGCAAATTCAGCTATTTCTTGATCAGATAAACCTAAAGCCTTCATTATCATCCATTGATATTTTAATCCTCCTGTTTTAGCTAGAACTTTTCCCTACACAACATAAACAAATATTCTGATGATAATTGGATTATGAAGCACATTTTACATTTTTTGAGTATCACTCAAAAATTAAAAAAAACATTGCATACATTGTGTTCTGTAGAAAAAAACATGAAATACTAGTGTAAAACAAAAATCATTTTTTCAATTATGAAATTATTTGCCTACTAGTGCTAAATATGACCAAGCTTGAAAAATCAGCTTTTATTAGTAGGCCTCCTACAGATATGGATAACTATAGTTACCGTTTTATAATCTCAGCAACATAAAAAAAAAAGTCCGAATGGAGCATCAGAAGTAAGTAAATAACAAAAATAATACCTTCTTTCGTTTTGATTTATCAGCTATAACTGATTCTACATCTTTCTTGACAGTTTCTGTTGGTTCCTCTTCTACAGGGAATACTGGTGGATAGCCATATACTTCCATTTCACGTTTTAATTTATCAGAACAAGCCTAAATAATTGATACAAAATGGTATGACAATGAAAACTGTTTTAAGTGATCAATGCATGAACTGCAGAAATTAAACCTTTCTCATGGGTAGGGCAATGAGAAAAGCCAAAAAAATTTCATAACAAATGATTTACATAATATTGCTTAACATAATGTACAAGATAAATACATTATAGGCCTACCTTGATTGGCATACCAGTACAATGTAAACCAAATGGGAACAGACATCTTTTACCAATTAGTCTTTGATAACCCATTGCAAACTGAAAAAAAAATATGTACGGAAAACTTAAAATTTCAAGTAAACACAATGAAGTATACCATTTAGGTAATATGATTTGAAAATAAATCATGTCGAACCACTGTGAATATTATACAAAAATAGTTATAATTAATGGGTGCCAGTCTTGTGACAAAAGGTCTCTGAACACTGCACAACGTGACTACATTCAATGAAGATAAATAATCCGGATAAAAGACATATCTTACCTCACATTTAGACAAAGAAAAAGTATGTCCTAAATGTAATCTACCATTCATGTAAGGATAAGGAAAAGTAGCAAGATATTTTTCTTGTCTGAAAAGAAAAAGTTCCATAAAAAAAAATGAAAATTATAATGTCCAGTTTGTCAAGCACAAACAGATGTCTTGAGCTGAAAATATTTGAAAGATTTTGCTTGTTGATTTGTTGCAATATGTCATATCAATAGTATATGTTAAAGACATTTAATAAGTAGGGCTACTTAACATTCTCCTTTTTTTGTCGCATTTGCCATTTTCAAAAACTTAATACAGAAAATGGCAAATCCAACAAAAAATGGCAAATGTGAAATAGCCCTACTTATTAAATGCCTCTTATTACTAATTTAAAAAATGTATAAATAGTACTATAATTATCCAAATTGACATTTGTGCTTCTTTATTTTTGTTTATCATTACTCTCCTTTAGAAGATGTAACATATTGTTAACAAATTTTCATTTATTTCATAATATATATGGGTATCAAAATTCAAATCCTGGTAAAAGTACAATTGTGAAGTACTATACATACTTGGCCTCGGGTGTTCCTGCAGCAGGAGCATCTTGTTCAAATATTTTCTCTTCTTCCCATCTCTCTTGAACTTTCTTCTGAATATCTAACAACTCAGTAAGCTTGGCTGTACTCTTTCTTTCCATTTTTACAGCTTCCCTTCAGCACTATTTAACATTAAAATTTGGATAATTACAAAATTTACTGTTAATGTAGTAATCCCTTTGCATCATATCCTTTCCCATAACATTGAAATCTTGATTGTTAATAGCAGGGAGTGAAAACTTTGCACATGTCCACCTAATGTTCTGAACTAGGTTATTACATATGGAAATGAGCCTCAAGTCGTAGGTCAACTGAAAATCACCCTGAGCAGTGCATGCATTTCGTAATATTGTAACAATATTTTCAAACCACAATCTAAAACTATTAATACTATTTTAATTATGACATCATTATTGTTACATATTGTATTAGTTATTGCTGTTGGACAGAATTTTCAGCACTTTGTAAATAATTACAGTACAGTCGAGTAACCTAATTTCGTGGAAACCTATTATTTGTGGATTTCCGGAAAGGATTAATAATTTACATGAGCGACCTTGCGCGACCTCCGCATTAGTTTGTTTTAATAAACATGGGTTTTCTGTACAATATCAGCTAGTAGAATGAATCCAGTAGTTTCAAGCAAGGTAAAATGTATTAATGTATACTTTGACAAATACAAAATGGCGGATTTCAGTTATTACCAAACGTCACCATTTTTTATCGGCCGAATTTCCTTATAATCCCTAGCCGTAATCGGAATTCCAAGTGTCGTCTGCTAGAATGTAGTCCAACGAATGAAGTCACGTGATCAAGTAGCGGATTCCGTGTAAGCAGAAAATTTATATGGAACACAAAGTGGACCATATTCTTATGTAGTTTCTGTTACTTTTAGCAATAAATCATGCTACATATATTAATTTGTCAGTCACTATTTTTTTTTTAAAATCGTGGTTCTTTGAAGGAATTGTCACTAGTGATAATGAATTGATATTAAAGATAAATTAAGTTAATTATACCACCCGGTATCCATACAACGTGTTTTTCTAGACTTATTTATAGTTCAAACATTGTACACGAAAATAGGTGACGCATTCTGCCGCCGTTGCCGAGTTGGTTGCTCATGAAATATGGGTCAAAGTGAAGAATTCATAAAGAAAATCGAAACAAACCAATTTTAATTATTTTGTAGAATTTCTGAGGAAACATCTAAGACATAAAAAAAAAATTTCGTTTTTTTAACTTTGACGAAATTTGGTGTTGAACCCTTATATCCACGAAAATAGGTTACACCACTGTACAACTTCAATGACAATATCAATTCAAAATTCAAAACCATATCAGCATCCGCTAGTAGCGAACGTTTACTTGTCATCTACCTACCTACCTACCTACCAATTCAAAATCCAGGTAATTAGGTCTACTTAACATGAGCTTTCTGAGAAGCTCTGCGACTTAGCTGTTGTAATAACCGTAACTACAATTCCTGTTTTCAATAGGCATAGCCTCTGTCCAGTGAAGACGAATATAATAATGCAAATTGCAATTGATGATCAACGACCGTCACTCAACAATATGCCACATTCAATGATTGACTACAAATAGCTCAATTCAACGTAGCTCAATACTTTTGTTACAACTTACAGCTATATTTAGGAAGCTTAGAAAGCACTAATTTCCACTGTTTTTGTTTTATTTCATCAACAGCGTAATGATGAAACTGCTTGGTAAAGTTTACATGTGGAGTATTTTGATAGATTGATTTCCGGCTGTCGTAAATAAGATAAATATTTTTTGGAAGTATTATATCTAATTATTAGACATACGGAAAGAGATTTGAGATTTGAACAATTTCATCTTACCCATTTAAGGGTTTTATTATTATTTTTCAATTAGTATTCTTATATTTTACTCTTTTTTTTTACGACAAACGGAAAACAGTTTATCGTTTATACTTTTTTTGATTTTAATGATTAAAGAGCAAAGGAAACTGAAAGTAGAGTAAACAAAACGATGTCAGATTTTGACGAAAAAAGTGGGGCTGTGTCCTCCAGAACTGAATGGGGACATTGGTTTCAAACTTTAGAAGAAGTGTATATAGAAATAAACGTCAACCCAGGCACCAAATCCAAAGATATAAAGTGCAATTTTCAGAATAAACACCTGCATGTTTCAGTGAAAGGACAGGTGATGATTGATGTACGTTTGAAGGACGGTTAGTTAAGTATAGTCAGTATTTTTGTGCTTGAAAAATCAATGTGATTTTATGCAGTGCATAGATTTATCTACTAGTGCATAGCATTTGTCTATGATAAACTGTCTTTCTGTGATTGATTATGTTTCAAATTTGTTCAAATATTTTAAGTTATTGATATATACTTTCTACTTTCACTTCAGGGAGAATTTCCAGAGCCAATTCATGGGGATGATGGATTGTGGACACTGGGTAAGTGGACCACATGTCTACAAAATTGTTTTAAACTGCTGTCAAGAGAAATAAATCCTTAACTGCACGAGAGCTCAAATATTTGATATTAAGCCAACAATTCATCAGTGAACAAACAAATTTCTTTTTTAAGAGTTGAAATCAAAAATGGTTGAGAAGTTCCTGTGGTTTTATTTTTCAGAGGATGGTAAAATCATTAGAATATGTTTAAGTAAAACCTTTACAACACCAGATCATTGCTGGAAGTCTTTACTAGTTGGGCAGTATGAAGCTAATCCTTTAATTCATGACGAGATGCAGAAAAAATTAACTTTGGAATCTTTCCAGAATAAGGTGATTTACCATTTTGTTTTGTAACGGCTCAAGTCTTTCTCATGATATTGGAAAAAGGTTCACAAATAAAAGTTCTACATTATGTTTTTTGGGATTTCAATTTTATATTCAACTTAAGCATTGCATATGATTGTTTTGAACACCCTGCGATTGGGTTGGCAACTTCACATTCCTGTTAGAGGGCCTGTGTGTACAAATATCATTAATTGGTTTGTAATTTGCTATCTTTATATTTCAGAATCCTGGATTTGATTTCAGCAATGCCAGTGTGTCAGGAAACTATCAAAATGGTGGACCAGATCTTCCATAATTTACAGTGCTGTGGCTAAAGCAGATATGCATTTCTAATTTCTTCATATCATTACGCAATGAGATCAGTGCTGTTGAAAAAGCAGTTATGCACATACAGCTTCTTTGATGAGGAGGGTAAAACTAATATACCAAGCAGTCATGTGACTGGTAGATCGTTCTACATTGTGACTGTGTTCGGAAGTCTGGGGAGAACAAAGTGAGATTAAATCCCCATAATTAAAAGAGTTTTCTTCTTTTTTCAATTTTAATTGCCTGATTGGCCAAAATGATTCTTTTTTGAAGAAAATCAGAGGCATATTTCTAGTAGATGATATACTCAGCCACAGAAATTAACAGGTCCAACATTTACAGTGTAGCCTGATTAAGAATTAGATAGGTTGTTTCCCAATATTTATGGAGCCGTCAAAGGACACAAATTTGACAGGTAACAAGCTACTAAGTGAGGACAAATATATTAAAATTAAACTGTGTTGATATGAATATTTTAACTTAAGATGACTTAGAATTACAAACATGAAATATACTTTATTTAGATCATCTGTGGTTCTGAACAATGAACAGTTGAAATATTTTAATTTTAAAGGAATACAACCTCCCAGAATGTGCATAAAATTTCAAAATGTATTCATCAGTTGGACTTACCTGGTGTCATGACATAAGCCAAGAATAGAATCTCTCTAAAAAACAATATATAAGTAATCACTGAAAAATGCTTCTAAGATTCTGTCTTATAGTTATGAAACCAGGTAAATCCACTGACGAACAAAGACTCATTTTGGCCAAGTTTAAAAATTCAAATTTGGTCCTGGGAGGTAGTATACCTTTAATCTCGTAGTATACATTTAATTTGATATAATTTATGATAGCCAGAAATGATTTATTACAATTTGAAAATATTCAGCTGTTCTCTCTGACTTAATGTATAATTGATGCTATCTGAATATATTGGGATTATTCAAAGTTTTAATCCGTACCAACTATTACTACCTCAAAACATGTATGGACTGCTCATTTGGTCTTAAACTTTTCTTATAATTGCATAATTATCTTGACTAAAAGAAAAAGTTAGATAAAAGTACATTTATTTTCATTATGGTTATTATAATGCATTGTAATATAAATAATATAATTCTATTAAATTGAGACAGTAATAAGCAAAGCAGGACTAAGGCGTCAAAATGGTTTAGTAGCCAATAATCAACAGCTAAATGAGCTATAAGCGTCTGCAGACATATCTATATACAGTTTTGAACACTGACAATAAGACAAACCAGGTATCAGATTTTCATTCTAACATGTACCACTGACAGCCCACAAAGCTTTATCAGGTTGGAAAGCAAATATTTTGATAACTGTATCCATATACATATACAATAAAAATATTATTATTATCATTAATTATGTGCACACAAATTCTAGTTATATGCAGAAGTATTTATGGAATTTGATCAATTGAATTATACATTGAGTTACATTCATCTGTACAAAAATTAAACATCAAAACAATTAACAATGCATCCAGATAAGGATTGCAAAAAAAAACCAAACATTTCCACTGTTATGGCATATAAAACACTAATGACCAAAAAAAAACTAATAAAAACTAAATGTAAGACTAACAGATATACAATAGACTAATTTGTTTGCTTTACCAGCTATTTGACTTTCTTATAACAGAACCTGAAACAGTTTCATGCTGTGTCTTTTTTTTAAAATATTGTGAATTTCAATTTAGCCATTTATATCACTTTTAGAAAGAAAATCTTACATCCAATTTGTGTACAATCAAATAATAATAATTGCAATAACCATCCATAGAAACAACAGGATAATTTTTTTTTTTCGAAATATGCACCAGCTTTAATCAAACCCAACCTCGTATTTTCATTCTGAAAAATACTCAGCTAAATGATACTCAACTGGTAAAGCAAATAAGTAGATAATTATGAGAGATTCAACACAAACAGCACTAGATAAGAAAACGTTAAAATGAGACAGTACCTAAGAAATCAGCTATACAAACTGATAAAACATAAATAATTATAGCTATAATCAAACCAAACACCATTTGATATCAACAAAAGCTTTACTATAATTATTCATATAACAATAAAAACTAAAATTGCAAAAAAAGGAGATCTTTCATCTAATTTTAAGTCAACTTTTATGGTATAAATTAACTTTAATTTTACTTTTGATCACAAACAACAAAATATTTAAGAAAATGTAGAGCTCCAATGCATAAGTTAGTAACAGGGGACTTAATAAATTTCAGCTATCAATTTAACGTTTGAGAATTAAAGGGACAGGTTCGCCATCTGTTTGACCAATTGACCTTAGTCTCAGAAACTGAAACATTCTGAGGCTCTAATTTTTGATCTTTTATTGCACAGATTTACAGACACAATTTTTGAAATTTGGTCAGATATTTTTGAATATCAATAATGTTTACACCTTACTTAGCAAAACAATACTGATGCTTAGTAAAGTTTATACTAACTTTTTAAGTATTGTTTATATAACACTGAACAAAAACCATTCACTTATCAAGAATGAAATCTTAATAACTAGTACAGAGAGTAAATCAAAATTCACACTATCCCACACAAAACAATTTATTATAGCATAACAAATGTTATCTGTCACAGCACTTAAACCATGCCATTATTGTCAGGTTGTTGATTTATGATTGAAACTTATTTCAATTTGAAACATACACCTAAAAACAATTAAACCTACTCATACACCTCAATTCAAAATGACTGTGGCTCGTTTGAAAATGAATATATGCCACATCTTAAAGGGGCATTCTACTTTGCTTATAAAAGATTTTCATAGAAAAAAGGTCATAAATTATACCTGAAAATATTAGTATACGTCAAATAACTGGTGTTGCCCAGCTCTATGAAGGAGAGTTATTTTTTTTTTGCTTGATAAAGGGATTAGTCCAGAAACTAGCTACATTTACTCTAATTGTATCAACTTTTTACCTACTGTTTGCATGTTATCGTGTGATTTATTTTTTCCTTCTTATCACTCGTTTTATTCTTAAGTATATAATGATATAAGTATGCTATTATATTTACTTGATCAAACTGAATTTGTTTCAAAAGAGTTAATCAAATATGGAGAGTACTGATTGTTAATTAAGCATTTTGACATAGCTTTCGTGTTTGGCTCTTGAATGGCTTAATATTAGTTGAAACCTGTAGACTGGTAGGAGAAACTTTTTTCTACCAGTAGGCGTTTATTTTACTTAAATCTTTACTTACAGTAGTTTTTTTAACAGCTTTCAAAAAGCATAAAAAGCATAAAAATCCTAAAATATTAACATAAACTTACAAAAGCTTTTTAAATAGTTTTGGCGTTAAAAGATTAACAGCTAGATATTTTCAGTGAAAACTTTCAGATATGTTAATGGGCACATTTCTGTAGATTTTGATGTAGTTTTCACAGCCTACAAAAAAAAGCGGAATGTCGCTTTAAGCAACAAATTCAAATGTGATGACAAACAGAAAAAATGATTTAAGGAATCTATCAAATATCACATTAAAACTCAGATGTTGCTACTTAAATAATTTCAGACAAACCCAATGTCATTTTTCCATTCTAAAATATGATAAAGATGGTTTTCAAAACTAGTAACCTGACTAAATCCTTTGAAGAGATATGTGATTAAGATTTATGCATGTGAAAAAAATAAAGAATAAAATGTATTCTAGATACAATACTGGCAGTGGAATTAGCATTTTTATACTAAAAAAATGGTAAAAAAATATATGTAAAAGCACATTTTTAAGAAGGTACACAAAAACATTAAAATTTAGACACAATTCATCAAAATTAACAAAACAAAAATATATTCTTAACAACGTCAATGTGGTCATCATACTAAAATGAATGACAAAATTAATTCTGTCCTTAAAGGTTGTAGGGCTTTTATTCAGCTTTTATTGTTTGTTCAATTAAACATAAATTACTTTTGATAAAAACTTTTGCGGAGCTGAATCGTATCTCTAGCAAATGTAAAAGTAAAGAATTAACCTATAATGATATTTAACTATGATAAATCATAGAAGCAGCCAATAGACTATCATAGCCCTGGGCTTCATGGACAGCTATATTATGTTCAAGAGAACTATCGGACAGAGATTCTGTAGGTAGACTTTCAGCTGGTTGTGAGGATGTCTTAGGGTTGATGTGGTATGCAGGATTATAATCTTCTGAAAAATACAATGCAATTCAGATCAGTGTGAATAAACGACAACAAAATTACTTATTACCATTGCCATATAGCTGCCTGATAAGGATTTTATATCTGAAACATTTGTAGCCAATATAATAGAAGTTTTAAACTAAGACAATCAATCAGGAGATCAGAGTAGTCATTCTCTAGAATATTACCAATAATTCCTGCTGATTTTACTTACACTTAACATTTTTATGTCCAGATACATCCTCACAATGTCAAGCTATTACAAACTTCATACTAATACCTTGACTGCAATAGCCACTCTTCTTATATCATAGAAGTTTGTTAATAAAACGATTTGATTGGATTGTATGCCCTTAAATACAGTCAATCACAGCCCTCAGCAGAAAGGCTGATAAAATTATGGCTTTGTATTTGCAGATTTTCTGTCAAGACCTGATTGGCTGTATTTGCTGGCATACAATCCAATCAAAATGCTTTAATTTACAAACTTCCATGATACAAAAAGGGTGCAGTCAAGGTATAAGACAAATTCGTAATAGCTTGCCATTGTGAAGATGGTCCAAATATAGAAATTCAAATTCAAAATATGCAGAACATAAGTCAATAGTCATGCAAACTCAAAAACATCAAATCGTTACAGAAAACTACACGCCTTGTTCATAATGAAATATGATAAGCTTTTCAAAATGAATTTCCTCAATTCAATAATATTGACAGCATATTTGTCACAAATATAAAACCCCTTTTTAAAGATCTTTAAATAGTTGCATCAATATATTCATTATTTTGCAATTTTCATTGCTGACATTCAATACATAACTCTTTCAAAGATTGGTTTTGGAAATATCTCTATGGTTATATGTGTATTGCATGTTTTTGAATGAAAATAAACTAAAAAGGTTTCAGAATCTAACAGTCTAATCTAAGGTATATTTGTATGAAAATGCACCAACCTAATCTATGATTAACAATACATTAAAAATAATGTGTAGTTAATCCAATGCATCGTGATGGTGCATTTTGACAGACAGGTTTGGCACCAAATGTGTGAATTTGGTCATCATAAGGGAGGTAACTCGTTTGCTCTTTATCTGCATGATTATCAAGACATGATTCATTGCTATCTAACATATTATAGCATTCACCTGTTGAAAAACATAATATAAAGGTAACATCAAAAAGGGGATCAGGGACCTATTTCTCATAACATCTTTCCATAAGTTTGTACCTGGTCAACAAATTTTGTGAGAAATGGGGGGCCTGACTATTATTTCAACTGTTTCTGTGCCTTCAAGTGAGGTAAACATAAAAGGATGAAATTCAAAGAACTGCTTTGAAAATCATATCGTAGCTATGGATGAATTCAATATTTTTAGCAGGTCATTAGGAGCAATATCTCAGGATTATAAACCTTTTAAATTGAAAATTATAATCTCTATCTGAAGATAGAATAACAGCAAGTGGAAGTCAGGTGTATGTCTTCCATCATTATTTTAGTCAATCAAGGTGCTGAAACCTTCTCATCAATTCCTCTCTTTCTAAGAGGCATCAAGATATCAAGATTACAGGTTAATGAAAACTATAAGCTATGTTATGTTACAAACCCTAAAGTACCAAATGACTTAATACTACCTGCTCTATCTTTAATACTATACTAATATTATGTTACCTACAACAGACTGTCATCTTACTTTCGTAAGTAAACTGGATTTTTAGGTTAACTGACATATCAGATATCAGAATTGCTAATATAAGATAATGTTTCAATGCTGATAATCAAATTAACATCAAAATAACGGTAAAAAAATTTACGCGAAAAAGTCATACATTGACAGTTGTTAATTGAATGTTTAACCTAAACACCAATGATAGAGTGAAAGAAAAGCATTACCTGTATTATTATTAGTAGATATATTGGAAGGTAAAGATGATATAGCTAATATAGATTGATAGGAGCTTATAACATTATTATTTAGAGCTGTTTCTTCTACTTTATTCTCTACAAGATAAAAAATGTTAAAGAATAACCATTTCCCATTTAATTCAATATAGTCATCTAAATATTTGCTTCCCCAGCTATGTGTGTCCTTTTTTCAAGATGTGATTACTACCATTGGTTCCTTTGTAACAAAAAATTATTTGATGCCTATTCAGTTTGCTGATAATTACAGCCCTACTTTCAGTTTCAGCAAAATGTTTCCCAGTTTTTGTTGTTTTCTACTATCATAGTCTTGGTATATCAAGATTCAAAAACTTCAATAAGTACTAGACAAGGCTAGACAATCTGATTCTTGAAAAGAGTTTTATAATTGCTGCCTGCAAACAACTGGAACTGGTAAAGCAAGCATTTAAACAACTATATCTATATAAAAATAAGCTTGAACAATGGGTTTTTTTTTTTTGTTAATCTTCTACCCAATGCAAGCAAGAAATAATTCTTTCAAAATTTGATGATGCATCAAAGGAACTTAAAGGAATTATAAAGAGGTTTCTAAAAAAATTTAAGTCCTTGTGATACTGATAGCATCAATTTGCATCATTCCAATTTTCAACCAGACGTCTGTGGTTCCTGCAATTTCATTAAAAACTAGAGCCACTCGTGGCACAGAGTGGGACTTTGCAAATGTAGCAAAATCCAAAAGACCTTGAAAAAATCAACCGTCGACGATAATTAGATCAAGCGCAAGAACAGTCTAAGGTTTAGAAATTTTCATTTTTTAGAAGATTCTAATACCGGAAGTAGACGTCAGACTTCACAAATGAAAGTATCTGCAGATAGCCAAGGTCAATGACCTTTGATCTTGTAAAAGAGAAGGTCTAAAAAGGTCAAGATCAAGAGATATACATTATCAAAATTTCAAGTTGCACACGACTATAAAACCGAAAGCTGACATAGGACGGAAAATATAAAAGTATAAATAGATAGCCAATGCCAATAAAGTTTGATCCTACAAAGGTCAAGGTCAACAAAGGTCAAGGTCAAAAATTGAAAATTTTCAATTTCCAAAACCTGTTCCTTTTTTTGAACTATAAAGCGGAAACAACCGAAATTCTGAGACAAAGTGGCTTAAAATATGAGGTAATTGTGTGCAAACTTCCATTTTGAACAAATGTATATTTTGCGAGTTATGCCCCTGGCCAAAAATGTCAATAATGAGTAATTTAACCCAAATGTGCCACGCCCACGTCAATTTTTTTGCATAGGTTAATTGATATTCAAAATGTTACATTATGATCGAAATGTCAAGCTCCTACATAATACAGGTCAAAAGATATAGGTCAACAAAAGTTAACAAAGGTCAAAATCGAAAAATGAAAATATCCAAACGTAAAAAACCCGTTCCTTTTTTGGAACTATAAAGCTGAAACAACTGAGCTGTTAACACAAACTGGCCAAAAGGATGAGGTAATTGTGTGCAAAGGCCCTTTTTGAAAAAAAGCATCCTATGCGAATTATGCCCCTCCCTTTAAATGTAAACAATTAGTAATTCAACCCGGATGTGCCATGCCCACATAAGTTTTTTTGTCATAGGTGAATTCATATTCAAAGTGTCTAGTTGTATTCCAAATATCAAGGTTCTACATCAAATAGATCATAAGATATACATATACCAAGCTCAAAAAGACGCAAAAATGGTAAAACAAAACTCAAATTTGAAAAAATCACGAATTTCAATTTTGCTTTAAAATAACGATTGTTATATATCTATGTAAAGTGCATGAGAAGCACATTAGGAAACCAAAAAAATTAACCCTCTAGGTTAATTAGGTCACGTGCTAGAGCAGTCCAAATTTGGCTTTTTATGGATAGCTATAAAACCGGAAGTACATGTCGGAGGTCAAAGATCAAAGTATCAAATGATAGCCAAGGTCAATGACCTTTGACCCTATGAAGGTCAAGGTCATCAAAGGTCAAGGTCACATGATGTGATCGTTTAAAGCTTTAAAAAATTTCAACCGGAAGTTGCAAAAAAGCAAAAGCGAAATTCAAAATTCGGCTCCCAATGTTTTTTGCGCAATCGATTGCAAACTACATTCACATCAAATTTGAGCATATCAACTTTTACCCTCAGGCCCCATTTTGAGTTTTACAAAAGTGTGTTTTTTCAATATGGCGGCCAAAGTATCACTTCCGGTCTGGATTTTATTTTAAAATCGGTCATAAAATTTTATTTGCCAAAGATCAGCCAAATTTTGTTGACCTACATAAATTACACCGGAAGTTATTCAACTGGAAGTAGATTTGAAGTTCAGTCGCTTTCCTGTTTAAAATCGGAAATGACGTACAAAATTTGACTGTATCATATTATTAACATTAGTGAAGTCTCTTTGCATTTAAAATTTCATATCAGTAGATGCAAAAGCAAAAAAGTTGCAAAAAAATCGAAATATTTGATCGAAAAAAGTGAGCGACGAATTTTCGAATTTCGTAATTTTTCAAGTGCTATCAGGTCAGAAATAACAGGTAGATTGTAAAAATGAAAACCCGAAGAAAATCGATGCAAAAATACGCCTTCTAGAGCCGATTGTCGACTTTTGCACATGTTGAACTGTGGCAATTCCGGTTTTGCAAAAATGTTCCAATATATATTTAAGGAACACGTTGCCACTACAGAAGGTCTAGAGAAGTTGAATGGTTGCTGCAACTACTGCAGTTTAAGCTCAGGAAGGTGTGTAAATTTCGAAAAAAAAAAAAAAACAAAAAAAACAAAAAAACAAAAAAGAATGGACATTTCGATAACAAACTGGTATGCGGTAGCAAAGTCCCACAATAAGTGTTTGATGATTTCACTAAACATGTAGGACCTTATTTGATAAAGCAAATAAGCGACCTCCTCAAAACACTTATTTCTAGTGTTATTGCAAGAACCACAGACATGGAAAATTGGAATGGTGCAAGTTAATATTATCAGTGTACCCAAAACACATAAAATTCAGAAACCTCTTTACAATCCCTTTAATTTTGAAGAAATTGAATGATAGATGTGTTAATCACAGTAAAAAAACAATTTAGGTTTTCCAGACTGGTCTTGGTAAGGTGGGCTTTCCAATGCTTATCAAAACAAAAGACTGCTCATCAATTTATTATTGACAATAAGCTCAATTTATTTCAGAAAAAATTTTGATACCGAAAAGAAAGAAAAGTTAGTTGTAAAAACTTAAAAGAAACTTTTTTGAAAACTATTAGAAGCATGAAAAGTATCTTATTATCATACCTCTGAAACACCTTCTTTTGATATGTTCTTCATCATCATCATCAAAAGATCTTTTCATTCCAGCAAAGGCTCTGAACACATTGTCACCTCGTCCATCAATAGGTATACCATTCATTTCTATACAGGTACCATTATCACCATTTGTCATATCACAGTGGACATTAGAATTATTAGTATCCATGTCCATATCACAGTCCATTGAGTCCATGTTATTAGTTTGTCCATTATGCATAGTTTGTTGATTATGTGTTGATTGAATATTAAATTGAGCTGAATGAAGGTGACCATTCTGATGAAGCTCTAATGCTTTTTGTAGATATTCTGAACAATGATTATGAGAGGAGTTGGCTGCCACTTCACTAGCTGTCTGACCATTATAGTTTCTTATACTGTAAATTAAAATAAAAATGTTATAAGACATGCGAACACTGAAAAGACAAATGCAGGCTGTCCAGAACTCATTTACAAAAATATAGGGTAATTTTGGGCTAAAATTAAGAAACTTTAGGTCTTATTTAGGGCTTAAATTCGGTATTTTATGACTAAATTAAGGCAGTTTTAGACATTAAAATGAAGGGGTGGGGGATCTTCAACTCCCTAGGAAAATGTGTAAAATTTTGTTTGGTTCGCTTGCATCTAAGGGCATTCCAAACAGCATTTCTGTTGATGACATACAATGAACACACCTCATGTAGAAATACACAAAAATCAACAATTGACATAAAAATTCAGGACTTTTTTTTTTCAGGATTTCAGCATTTTTTAAGGAATTTTAGCAAAACTGAAAAAAAATCAGGAAGTTTAGAGTCGCTGGACAGCCTGTCAATGTCATCTGGAATGGTGACCCGTAGAGCAAATTGTTTCACAATACATGCACCCAATCAAATACATCTAGTAAAAGTTAATACCATACACACTTCCTGAAGAAAGAGAAATGAAATGTGTGGTCAATCAACAGTGAAGAATGAAGAATGACTTACTCTAGAGCAGCATTTTGTGCTACCAACAAACTTATACACTCCATACTACCAGCTCTAGCTGCTTTATGTAAGGGAGTATCACCTAAATAATCCTGAAATTGAGAAGCAAAGAATAATTTCAAACTTTTATATAGATACAGGATTATATAATCAGCTTTAGATTAGTGCTTATTCTTTTATTTCTTTTACCACTATGTTTCTGTGACAGGATTATCAGCTTCAAAATAGTCCATTATTATAGTCTTTGAATGGCTTTACATTTAAAATCATGCAAATATTAGAACAAATTATCACTATGAAATATGTTTTTACACAAGGCCATTTCCATTAGAGATTTGCTATTTCGGATACAAAAATTTCTATGAGAGAAGTGTAAGCTTACTCAACTTAAATTTTGTTACAAAAATGAATACTTCTAAGCTCAGGCAATTTTTCATGACATGATTTAATTTTGAGGCTGATCAGTAAGAAAGAAGATTATAATCCAATTTTACCATATTCATTACTTTTCACTTCAGTACATGAATGAATGTACCTTAAATTGATTTAAAGGGACAGTTTTGCCATTTTGGGGGTTTGTTCGGGTCTTGAATTTATGTAAATAGTCTTTAGAAATACTAGAAATGTACAAAATCACATAATTCCTTCAAAAATATATCAAACTAGGAATTCCACTTTCTATCTCTAGGCTTATGTATGATATTTTTCTATATATGGCAGAGTTGCAAGAAATGACGAGTTGTCAATAACCATTTAAACACAGATATATCTGGACACACATCAATTTAAAGTCTCAAATTTTGATGTTGAGCTGTGAACACTATTACAAATTAGTTCATTTTCTGAAGAACAACTGGTCAAACAGATAGCGAACCTGTACCGTACCTTTAAACAAAATACACAAGAACTGAAGGGTATAAAGAGGAAATCAATGTCATTTTCTTTTCGTAAAAGACTTTGATTTCATATATATGCCAAATGAAATTTAGCTCAATATGTTGTTCTAAATTATGCTTCTAATAATGTAAAAAAAAATCATTGATTAAATCTTTAATAGAATGAAATTGGATAGGTTTTAGTTGTACTTGAAAATTAAATGTAAAAGTGACTGAAATCTGGTACTGCAATTGTCCTCTAAAAAAAACTATGCTATATGAGAAATGGATGACTAAATGGATAGAGTCTAAGACTGAAAGGAATTGCATTTATCATCATCATACAAATTTCATTTTACAGTTTAAAGATACTGTTATTGTAAAGTTACTATTATCACTTTTCTATGGAAAAAATCTTCTTATTTAGGGAAGATAGCCTCCACATTCTGCTGTAAATAAATCTACCAGCTGTTAAGTTACTAATCACACTTTGACAATTATCTTTAATCTTTCCAATCTAAATACATCAACCTAATATGAAAATGTGAAACACATTAGTTAAAGGTTCATGACCTCAATTGTTATAAAATTTTATTTTTCTGTTGCCCTTCATTTCAGTCTCAGTTACTTTAATGAAGCCTCTCTAACCTTAGCTCCAAGGTTTCCTCCTGCCTGTATCAACCATAGAAGACAATGTGGTTGTCCTCCAAGGGCAGCTGTGTGGACAGGAGTGAGCCCTGAACCTTTGGTTGAGCAATTACATGGGAAATTTAAGTCGATTTCACACATAACCTTCCTTAAACAAGCAAGCTACAAAGAAACACATAATTTTTAACAACATTTTACATCATACTGATACAGTATCAAACTGTTTTACTTTTTGACCCACATATTGAATAGCAGTATGGTATATTATGAATTTTAAGACAAAATGAATCAATCTGCAAAAATTTTAAGCCAGGAAGTATTTGGCATAAAGCCATAGTAATAGGGATAAAAACCCATCTATTTTTTTTTTCAAACTTTTGTATCTGTCATTTACAGAATAAAAAGGGTACCAGTACCACATAAAAAAAAGGTGTTAATTTGTTCATTAGGCCAAAAAATATAACAGTTTTAAAATTATCACTGGTAGCAATGTTTAATATTACTCCATTGTTTATACATATATTACCTGTCTGTTGAGAGAAGCACCACAATGTAACAGCCATTTTAAACAATGACTATTCCCACCTAGGGCAGCCACATGTAATGGAGCCTGATTAAATCTCACTGTAGCACAGTCACAATTTAAACCATGTTCTGTCAGTTTCATTAAACAGGATAGCTAAAGGTGATAATAGAATGAACTATATAAATAATGCATCTATATTAAGTGTGAATTGAGTAGGGTCTTAAATTAGTAATCATTCCCTTCATATTTTTTGAAGCAAACAAAATTAAAAGTATCTCAATCATTCACTCTACAACATTCAGAAAGTCCCTAAAAGGAAACGAAAATGGCCCATTACATATTTCGTTATTCTAAATAAATCTAAACAAAAAAACCAAGCAAAATATTAGCTAGTTGTACTTCTAGCTAGGTCTAGTATCTGTACTACTAGTGTATGTCTTATTGCGTGGGTAATATCTTGTTCATTAATATGATCATTAATTCAATAAATAAATGACATTATCAGTTTATGCTACTGATATGTCTAATTATTCTTTTCATTGACAAAATGTTAAGACATATGAAACGTTTGGATGGACATAATAAATAATAAGGAAGTGACTATTGTAGTCTGTTGTAATTATAGAGAATTTAACAAATTGTTTCTCCATCACACGTAAGTACATCAGTCAACACGACAAACACGTCAATGCTACCTTATATATACAAGAAACATATTATTTTTAGTCTGAGATGTTTAATGACGTGTGACCTTACTCGAATTTAATATTAATTACAGCGCTGTAACTTTAAACAGGATGAATTGTTAGGCCAATGGCCATATCTTGCATTTTGTCGATTGATATATAAAACAAAAGATATGTGTAGTCTGCCTTTACTATAAAATTATATTATATATAAATTATATAAAATTCAAATTACAATTGTCATAGCTCTATCCTGTGCCTAATAATCCTTCATAACCATATGCCTAACAAATTATGTTTAAAACAATCAACAGGCTTTTCGGTCACAGTGACTCTTTGATTTTTAAATTACAAATATACACATATCCATAATACCTTTCCAAAATAACCAGCCCAATGTGCTGGAGTCCATCCATAAAAGCCGTCTTCTTCATACAAATCATGTTGATTCAACAATAACAAAGAAGACAGAGTTTCCTGGTCGCCGTCTCGGCAAGCTTTATGTAATGGATACTGCTTTTCTAGACATTTTTCATTTGTGACATTAAAATTACCAGCCATAATGAATATCAACGACTTCCTGGACTTGTAGTTTAACGTGACACATTAATCTTTTACTGATTGTACAGCTTAAATCCCTAAAATATTTGAACAAAACTTAACACCCGCCAACTTTCCTGCCGAACGATTTCTAAATCCGGGCACCTGCATTGTTTTGATTCCGAGCAAAGTTTGAAATCCATCAAATGATACGGAATAATAAATTTATTTGGTGCAACAATCGGGTTAAATAGTTCCAGCAAATTCATAAGTTTTGAAAATAATTTACCATATATTTTGATTGAATTGATTAAACAATTAGGATTTGTTACAATTCTGTGAAAATACTTTCGTGGCGTGTTAAATGCTTTAATCTCTAATTTGTACCATGACCTACTTGACAGAAAATGCTCACGTGACTATTTGTTTACACGCTAAGAAGATGAAATGTGAAGTAAATAATAAAATTGTGATAAATGACATGTCATGATTTAGCTAGAGGTATAATATTTAGTTTTAATTACCACTAGTCTGTTAGAATCACGATTTAAACAAATTATTCACTTCAGTGAATGAGACTTGAGTTTGTTCGAATTCGTCTGCTTATTTGGTAAGCCAAGCATAGAATAGAGACTCTGATCTCAGAATTGATCCCTTAAAAAGATCATAAAGGCAGCTTGCACCTTAGCTATGGCCATCCCTGCCTTTGCCTAAACATTACGAAGTTGACGACAAATGTTACTTTTCATGTATTTTATTCATACCCCACATTGACCTCTGTCATTGATCTGCGAATGTGTTCAGGTCAATCAAAATAGAAGGTTTGACAATTTTTGCAAGATATACAATCTTGCCTCAAAATTTTACTAAAAAATTGCCATCTGAAATAATATTTGATTATGTTATGACGGCTTTTTCATTGGATTTGTTGGAATATTTGAGTCGCAATAGAATCTAATACTCTTTGTATTATTTTGCAATTGATAATCCATTAAAAAGTAATTGACGTATTATGAACAAATATTCATATACTTTTGAACCAAAATCAAGAGAAATTTACGTCCCTTAACATATGTGAAAGTTTTAACCTTCAAAAAACTAATTAAAATCTGTAAGTTTGTTAATTTTGTAAGGCCAAAACTATTAAAAAAGTTTACACAAGTTTTTAATGCTTTTTTACAGAAAACTACTGTAGGGATTGAAGCAAAACAAACGCCTAATTGTAGAGAAATGTGTCTCCTACTTATTTTGAAGGTTTCAATTAATAATATCGAGTCATTATGCTGCCAAACACAAATTTAACTAGATCCAACTGCTTAATTAACAATTTGTTATTGCATAGCATATTTTAGAAATATTATCAGGTATAATTTAGGACGTTTCTGATAAATGAAAATTTTGCATATCGGTACTGTGTTTAACAAATGCACTGTATTTATGAAATATGTTTCAGGTACAATGAAGACAAACAGAAGATAGAAGCAATAAAATGAAGACAGTACCAGTATTAGGAGCAGTAGGGGTGGGGTTTATTAGTATTGGACTATATTATGGTATACTAACTACCTTGATCTACATCACCTTCAATGTATCAATAGTATTATTAGGTCTATATCTCGGTGCTCAATGGAGTTTAATGTCTAGTAAACCCTATAAACCACCACCTGTTGAAAAAGAGATCAGTTTCTTCAGTGCTCTTATAGAAAAAATGATAGTAAGTTAAGTTCTTACCCATATTTGACCTATATTTTTAGTACAAATTTTTTGCTTTAAAATTTTGTTAATATTGCCTATCATTATATTTCCACGCAATTCATTTTTTCAGTATCAGTCATCTTCTCTTTTCAAACTGATGGCTAATAGACTTTTATAGTAACAGGTTTATTGCAGATTACCAATACAATTTTTATGTTCAAATCTCTACATTATTTTTATGAAGCAGATATCTTTTTATTACGTTGGCCAATGCTTTACATAATAGTTTTTCAATAAAATTCTTCAACCTCTATACTCTTGCTCTGTATTCTGCAGGAAAAAGATCAATTGAAACCTGATGCAGTACGTAAAGTAGTTATATCTAGAAATATAGATAATATTATACAAGAAGTTTTAGACTTATTTACACAAGATTTTATTCTGTCATGGTACAAAGATCTCAGTATTAAACAACAACCTCTAGTTACCGCTTTACAGTAAGTAGCAAATACATTGTTTAAATTACTATGTCCTTAATAGATCTAATAACAGTCATACCCATATTCTATTTCATGGCATAAAGAGGTCATTGATATTTTAAACAGTGTATAAGATATCAAGTCAGACCACTTTTCATTATGAAATACTTACTCACTTATAATTGATATACATGAACTTCATCATGTGAAAAGTTCATTAGCTGCTACTCATGTTTTGCCAAAATGTTGTTTGGATTTTAGGTTTCAGTTTTCGTTGGATCGTTAGTCCTTGGTTTATTTATTTTACAAATCCACATCATTTAGACATTGAAAATGTAAATGTGAAAAATTACCAAATGACATAAGCACCACCAGTACAAATGACTACTGTCTTCACCTCACTGTATTATTGCAGTCTTTTGAATTATCTGTAGTTATATCAACTTGTTGATGAAGTTCAGAAAACAAGGCTTACTCTCTGTTCTAAAATCCACAGAAAAACACATATTGTTGAACACTGTTAGATTTTAGTCACATAGATGATTATTCTAAAACTTGTTGTAGTGAGATGTGATTAAAGGTAAACCATGAGGCTATGGAGCTTTAACTCCAAATATTTTTCAGTGGTGAGGTATGGCAAATGATAGGAGAACTGAGTACAAGATTATCTAAGATAGATACAGTCACAGTTTTAACACAAGATATAGTGGACATTTTAACAGATCATTTTAAAGATATTAGATTAGCCAATAAAAGGTAACTTTAAACTTAGATTTAAGAGTAAACAAGTACTGAGATGCCAAATGTATACCTTTTTCCTTTCTAGTTAGTTTCAATTTATTTCTAATATTTGCCCAATTAACTTTCCTTTCTAGTTAGTTTCAATTTATTTCTAATATTTGCCCAATTAACTCCCTTTAGTCTTCAAATGATCTCACTCTAGTCTTCAAATGATCTCCCTCTAATCTTCAAATTATCTCTCTTTAGTCTTCAAATTATCTCACTTTAGTCTTCAAATGTTCTCCCTATAGTCTTTAAATTATATCCCTTTAGTCATCAAATTATCTCCCTTTAGTCATCAAATTATCACCCTTTAGTCTTCATGTTATCTCCGTCTAGTCTTCAAATGATCTCTCTTTAGTCTTCAAATGTTCTCCCTGTAGTCTTCAAATTATCACTCTTTAGTCTTCAAATTATTTTCCTGTAGTCTTCAATCTATCACTCTTTAGTCTTCAAATTATTTTCCTGTAGTCTTCAAAAACTTCCCTTTTGCCTTCAATTAACTCCCTTTAGTCTTCAAATTATCTCCTGTAAGTCATCAAATTATCGCCCTTTAGTCTTCATGTTATCTCCATCTAGTCTTCAAATGATCTCTCTTTAGTCTTCAAATGTTCTCCCTGTAGTCTTCAAATTATCACTCTTTAGTCTTCAAATTATCTCCCTTTAGTCATCAAATTATCACCCTTTAGTCTTCAAATTATCTCCCTTTTGTCTTCAAATTATCTTCCCTTTCGTCTTCAAATTATCTTCCTTTAGTCTTCAAATTATCTCCCTTTAGTCTTCAAATTATCTACCCTTTGTCTTCAAATTATCTTCCTTTAGTCTTCAAATGTTCTCCCTGTAGTCTTCAATCTATCACTCTTTAGTCCTCAAATACTTCCCTTTAGTCTTCAAAAACTTCCCTTTTGCCTTCAATTAACTCCCTTTAGTCTTCAAATTATCTCCTGTTAGTCTTCAAATTATCTTCCCTTTCGTCTTCAAATTATCTTCCTTTAGTCTTCATATTATCTCCTGTTAGTCTTCAAATTATCTACCTTTTGTCTTCATATTATCTTCCTTTAGTCTTCATATTATCTTCCTTTAGTCTTCAAATTATCTTCCTTTAGTCTTCAAATTATCTTCCTTTAGTCTTCATATTATCTTCTTTTAGTCTTCAAATTATCTTCCTTTAGTCTTCAAATTATCTTCCTTTAGTCTTCATATTATCTTCTTTTAGTCTTCAAATTATCTTCCTTTAGTCTTCAAATTATCTTCCTTTAGTCTTCATATTATCTTCCTTTAGTCTTCAAATTATCTTCCTTTAGTCTTCAAATTATCTACCTTTTGTCTTCATATTATCTTCCTTTAGTCTTCATATTATCTTCCTTTAGTCTTCAAATTATCTTCCTTTAGTCTTCAAATTATCTTCCTTTAGTCTTCATATTATCTTCCTTTAGTCTTCAAATTATCTTCCTTTAGTCTTCATATTATCTTCCTTTAGTCTTCATATTATCTTCCTTTAGTCTTCATATTATCTTCCTTTAGTCTTCAAATTATCTTCCTTTAGTCTTCAAATTGCCTCCATTTATTCGTCAAATTAGGGTTTATTTAAATGTTTAAATCTCCCACAAAAATCTACAAAATCAATGATTAACAAAAATGTTTAACTTGCTACAATTAATATTAATATTTGTTTTAGACCTAATATGAAGTCTGGAGAAGAAACTCCGAAATTTTTACTCCATTCCTGGCTAACAGATGAAGAATCAGAAATAGATTTTTTACGTAAAGTAACAGAAACTCTATTAGTTGTTCTTCTACCCCCTCATTATGTTAAAACTAAACAGATTCGTCATTTATTGAGAGAAATTATTACTTCTACAGGTTTGTAATATTTTTAGATAAGTTTTCCATTATGTCATAAAGTGACCTTAAACTTTATTAAATATGATAATTTCAAAATATAAAAAACCATGGAAATACATTTTATTTTATAATACATAAAATTAATATTAATACATACTAATTAATGATTTATTTGGACTGTTGTTACTTTCATGACGTTTGTAAAAGTTTTATGAATGAATAATAAAGATGTCATAATATCATAACTATCTGTAAGAATGGACTGAAAGTGTCAACAATATAACTTTTACAAAAGATTTTGTTATATTGCAAAAAAATTGTTAAAGTTTTTTGAAAGCTACAGATAGTTGAAATTGAGCTCTATCAGCCAGTAATGTAAAAATAACTACTTCTCTTTAAGAAAATTTGAGAATTTAAAGATATTTTCATAAAGTCAGTGTATTGTTCCCAAATCCATGTTTTCCATTTCAGCATTAAAACCATTAGTAGATATTTTGTGTGATCCGGACTATATTAATCAGACATTATTAGATTATTTAAAATATCGTGAGAAATTATCAGAAGATACCCGAAGAACCTATACCTATGCACCAACTTATGAAGATTTTGTGAAAATGATAGCAGCTGGTAGTGATATAGAACATCTAAAACAAATCAGGTAAATTATGCCATTGCAAAATTAGTATGGGACAAAATTGTAATGGCACTGTACTTTCAAATATGTCAAAGAAATTGGTTTTCAAATAAAAAAAAAGTGACATCATATATCTAGTTGTACTTTTCCAGAATAAAAGAGATTGGACAGGAAAATGGTAGCAAGATATGAATGTCACCAATACACATGTTTCATTTTTTTTTTTAATAAATCTTCAATTTTTTCATTTCAGATACAATATAATGTCAGAGATAATGCAATCAACTACTATCAATAATATTAAAAGAGCTCAAGGTTTGAAAACAGGTTTGTGCATCAATATGATCATTTTTGTTGTTAACAGGATTCTAAGCTGGGATCTTCATATTTTTTACCTAGCCCCCTTTCCTACTTTTCATGCTGTCTTAGAAGGTAGAACATCTAGTAGATTGTATTATATACATAATTTCTTCTGAAATGATCAATGTTATCTCAAATTTAGATTAATTTCAATTTCAGATAAAGTTAGTGCACCTAAGGGTCAAACAAAAGGTGAATTACTAAAAGCTAGAAACTTAAAAAGATATATAAATCAGGTAAGGTCTTTGTGAAAGTCTGATGGCCTTGATTAAATCTTGTTTCCTCATTATTCCAATCGACCCAGCTACCAGTATAAATGAGTATGGATGAATTATGCATAGAATCAGCAACAATATTTGTTTTTATAATGATTTGAATATTTAGAGCAATAGTGTGAAAGTAGGTCTAAATCACATTGCCAATATTGGACCAAGGATGTTGATTATTTGCAAGACATGTATTATTATGCATCCTGTCAGTGCCAATTCTTGTTCCATCCACCTTCGCATGTACCTTTTTATACGCCCACATCTCTCTATGTGGACGTATATTGTCGGCACCCCTGTCCGTCCGTCCGTCAACATTTGCTTGTAAATGCTATAAAAACTAGATTTTTTGATGGAAGGAAATGAAATTTGATATGTGTATACATACTTATAAAACGAAGATCAAGTTCGAATTTGAGCTATTTTCGACCGTTAGAGGCAGAGTTATTGCCCTTGCCCCAAAATCTTGAATATGCTATTACTCTGTTAGTTTTTCAACCGATTTTTATGAACCTAAAATGGATGTTATTGGACCTAAATCAAAAGGTTTGAGAAATTTTAGTTTACTTCTGATTAAATTTAAGGCCTTTTCAAGATTTAGGCCTCTTACGTCAGTTTTGAGGAGTTATCGCCCTTTAAACTCTATACAGTAAGTGCTTCTATCAACATCAATTGCTTGTAAACACTCTAAAAACTAGAGTGTTTGATGGAATCAAATGAAATTCGGTATGTGCATACATATTCATAAAACGAAGGTCCGTCCGTCAACATTTGCTTGTAAACGCTCAAAAAATTAGATTTTTTGATGGAATCAAATGAAATTCGGTATGTGTATATATAAGCTCAAATTTGAGCTATTTTCGACCGTAAGAAGCAGAGTTATTGCCCTTGCCCCAAAATCTTGAATATGCTATCTTAGTTTTGAACCGATTTTGATGAAACTTAAAATGCTGTGGTCCAGTATCTTTGTCATTACATTAGCCTTTTTATGACTTTGAAATGTAGATTGTTGAAAAAAAAGAGCCAGTTATGTATATATTTGTTTATTTGTAGTTAACAGTTGCTAAGCAACAATGTGAGAAACGTATCCAGTCTCTGGGTGGACCAGATTATAAGTCGTACAGTGATCCTAGAGATGGTTATATAGACCAAATCTTACCAGGACAAACTGTTCTATCATTTAATGTAATTATTGATATACCTAAAGCTAGAGAATGTTTTATGAAATATTTAAAAAAGGAAGGAGCAGAATCTTTGTTAGGGTAAGTGTGATTTCTTACTTGCAGTCTTTATATTTGCTTTTGTTGATAAGTTTTTAAGAGACTAGCCATGATAGAATTAACAATTTCACCTGTGCTCTAGAACAGACCTGCATCATTTACAGAGAGACTGAAAACTTGAAGAAATTTTCTTGAGACATTTAGTTTTAACTCAGTTCTACAGAATGTCAAGATGTGCTGGTTGTCAGATAGTTAACCAACTGTATGCTGAAGTGGGCATATTTGATCTTTGATTCAACCTCAATCATGCCATCAATAAGTTTCCTTAATTAAAAACATTTCAGATTTTGGAATGCAGTTGAAGATTTAAGAAATGCCAATAAGGTATATATACTTCTAGGTATATTTAAGTAATTAAGTGATCTGAGAAACTGTGAGAATTGAGTTGAAATAATGATAATATATTTGAACTTTTTTTGTAGTTACTGCATTTTTGAAATTTAAATAATTTCACATTACATGATTGTGTATGTTTTCATAAGGTCAATTAGGAACAAAAACATAGGGCATGAAAAACTACATTTTGTTTTGAGCAATTTATTTTTCAGCAACAACGCCATCAAGTAGCTAGTGAACTATATCATCAATATATAGCTAGTAGTACAACTATAGTTAAATTAGATAAAACTATTGTTAAAAATATAGAATTATTTCTTAGAGGAGATTCTGTAAGTTTTGTTTCATCTTTTTTCTTTATCAATTTTTATTCATAGGAAGAGTAAATCAATCTTTAAAGTCATTAGTTTAAATGATGTAGTAGTCTAGATTTTTATTCACTATTAAAAACTTAAGAAAAAAAATGAACACATATCATTTTAAAAGTAAATATGTGTCAAATTCAGTAATTACTGGTAATAATGAGGTAATTTCAGGAATTACTTGTATTGATTTAGCAGTAATTACTTATATTTTATTTTGTGCGCATATGATGAACTAAAAATACTTTCTGGTGAGTGTCTTGATGTTCTTAACTCAATTTTTAATTTTTTTATGTATTTTAAATGTTTATGAAATCATATAATTGCATACAGTATTTAAACAGAGATTACATTCCTACATGTTTCAGGGACCAGAAGCATTCTATGATGGTCAGGAAGTAGTGAGTGATTTATTAGAGAAGAAATATTACCCATCATTTATAGTCAGTGATACATATCATCAATATATATCATATTTAGAGGAAAGAGATATTAATGTTGATGTTACTCCTAAAGGTTTGTTTGTTTCTGACAAAATTTCGATTATTTTTTTTTTCTTTTTTTCTGTGGGTGACTCCATTTGACATCCCTCATAATATTGGATTTTTTTAAAATGGCATCCAGGGTTTGTGGCTTCTAATCTCTGTATAAACATTCTGTTCAAAATTCAGATCTTTTTTTTTTCCATCATCAGATTCAATTCTTTTTTAATTATGTACAGTTGAAGTTTGACAAAATTGGGTCAAACAAAACATTGCCAAAAGTTGTTCTGACAATAAAAGTCAATATTTGGGAATGATTAACGCAGAAAATAGCTTTTGTATATGGAGATTTTGATTGGTTGAATATTGGAAGTGAGAAACAAAAGTCCAGAAAAAAGTTTCTTCAAGTCTGCTGGACTTAAACTATGATTGCTGTCTTCAGTTCACCATACATTCGACCAGCAAAAATCAGCTTTAAGCAAGTGGCGAAAGAAACTGAAACAGATTGAAAATAAGGCACATTTCAACCATTACAGGATTTTTTCTTTTGATTTTATTCTTCTTGGTGGTTACCCTGAAAATGCTACAACCTAGATCACATCTTTAGAGATTTGATTTCTACCTGTATCTTTGTAGATGTAGATGTATTCGATGATGAAGATTTAGATGATAGTTCTAGTAATTTTATAGATCAACAATCTAATCAAGCTCAAAAACGACTACAACAATTAGATGAGAAAATAGTCAACAAATCCCAGGCATTACAGGCTTTAAAAACACAGAAACTAGATGATAAGGTACTGGTATTTATCTTATTTCAAAGCAACATTATCATTGCAAGGTATTTATTTGGCATGGTTAACTTTGTATCAATGCTGTATAAATTTTAGGTATAAATGTATTAATTTATTACCTTATTGGACTCTTTAGAAATGGTGACAACCTATTTTGGCTTAGATACTACAATTACAACTTCTTGTACTGTATCTTTATGGCAGTGATGCAGGCTGTACTGTGAATTTTTCATGCATACATAATGTCCCTTTTAATATGGAAACTCTGTATTATTTTCATCTTGATAACAAAAGTTAATACAGTATTTCCTATTTTTAATTATATCTGTAGCTATTGTGTCCTATTTAGAAAGTAGATCTATTGTCTTGTTGTGTTATTCTATTATTACAATATAGATAGAGATAGACAAAGTTGATCTGTAGCTATTGTGTCCCTATTTTGATATAGATAAAAAAAGTAGATCAGTAGCCATGTTGTAATATTTTGAAACTGATCTATATTCCTATTTTGATATAGATAAAGAAAGTAGAGAGTGACATGGAAGCAGAGTTAGATAATCTTAGATTCGAAAGAAGAACAATAGAATCACATATAGTACGTACACAACAATGGATTGAATATCAGGGACAGTGGAAAGCCAATGTACAGAGTGCTGAGGTTAGTATTCTATAGAAAACTTCATTCCATGCAGGGTATTGAATTTGCATATACATGTATCTGAATTTCATGAAATATCAGTTTCTGTTTGTATATGATCCATAAGGCACAGCTAGCTTGGTTGGTAGATGGCAAGTATACTTCTTCTGCCAGCAAACTTTTTATTGTTTACAGATTGTCCCTTCGCCTAAGTTAGGAAATTCATTTTTATTTATCGGTCAATAGTGATAATTCAAAACTTTTGACAGGTAATAAATGGGATATTGGATTATTAGTTGATGGTCTTGTGTTTTGATACCCTAGACAGTTACAGAACTGAATTTATTTATTATATTCATATTAGGGTTTTAATTTGAACCAGCACTCTTTCTTCAACCTAAACTTGATGTTCGCTAGACCTATTTTTATACGCCCACACGTAAGATGGGCGTATATTGTAATCACCCCGTCGGTCCGTCTGTCCGTTCAAATTTGGCTCGTGCTCACTCTACAGGCTACAGTTCTTTATGGATTCTTTTGATTTTTATTTTGTATGTCAATGTCATTATGAAGATGATCCCTGTTGATTTTCGTGATGATCGGATAATTTTTCACCGAAATATCGTGTCTGACTTGACGTTTTACTCTATTAGCTATATTGTGCAACTCGTGCTCACTCTACAGGCTACAATTCTTTACAGGTTCTTTTGATTTTTATTTTGTATGTCTATGTCGTTATGAAGATGATCCCTATTGATTTTCATGATGATCTATCGATTTTCATGATGATCAGATAATTTTTCACCGAAATATCGTGTTACTCTATTAGCTATATTGTGCAACTCGTGCTCACTCTACAGGCTACAATTGTTTACAGATTCTTTTGATTTTCATTTTGTATGTCAATGTCATTATGAAGATGATCCCTATCGATTTTCGCGATGATCGGATAATATTTCACCGAAATATCGTGTCTGACTTGACGTTTCACTCTATTAGCTATATTGTGCAACCCTGTAGTCACTAAAGACTGTTTAATCATTTCTGACAGCTGCCAATGGGCGTATGTTACCTTGCCTGGCAAGCTATCTTAAATTCTTAAAATGTTGGCTTTCTGGTTTCAGGTTGACACTGTTGGTGATAAACCTGTGGCTTATTTTGTGCTTGTGGTACATTTATCTGGTCAAGGTGGTGGTCAAGGATTACAGGACAGTGTCCAGGGCTGGGTAGTGTCCAGAACATTGGAAGAATTTCAAGCTCTACATTCAAAACTTATTCTGGTATGTTTTTAATAAAAACTTTTTATTGTAAGATTTTTTATTTCTTTTTTATGTCACTGTACTGGTGACATACAGTATTAAAGACATTACATCTATATGGGATAGCTACTTTAAAATTCTTATAAATTTCTTAGATTTGTCCATGGTTAAAGAAGAAGGACATGCCTAGTTTAAGTTTGAATCCATTTAAATCTATTGATTCAGCATTCTTAGAGAAAGCTAAAACATCTTTAGATGAATATTTACAGGTATGTACATATAATTCACAGACTGATTTAAATATCCTATTGGCTGTGCTAATGCTGCCATTTTGCAATTCCCATGTTACCAGTCTTCATCGGCTAAACCAAGAGCATTTCATTTCATTTTGTTTGAGCTGATGCTGAGTTTGGCTCAAGTAATGAAGTGCAAGATGTGTGATGTGGAAGATTGGGTATGTGCAAGATGTGTGATGTGCAAGGTGTGTGATGTGCAAGATGGGTTTTGTGCAAGGCAGGTGATGTACAAGATGTGTGATGTGCCAGATGGGTGATGTGAAAGACATGTGATGTGCAAGACAGGTGATGTGTAAGATGGGTTATGTGCAAGATGTGTGATGTGCAAGACAGGCGATGTGCAAGATGTGTGATGTTCAAGATGTGTGATGTGCAAGATGTGTGATGTGCAAGATGGGTTATGTGCAATATGTGTGATGTGCAAGATGTGTGATGTGCAAGATGGGTGATGTGCAAGACAGGTGATGTGCAAGATGTGTGATGTACAAGAATAGTTATGTGCAAGACAGGTGATGTGCAAGATGGGTGATGTGCAAGATGTGTGATGAGCAAAATGGGTTATGTGCAAGACACGTGATGTGCAAGATGTTTGATGTGCAATCAAATTTACCATATTTGGAGCATTAAAAACCTTACATGGTTAAAGATAATAAAACATATTAATTTCTTATGTTGAACAATGCTACCTTCTAAAAGTTGCTGTATTGCTCACAATCACAGTAATATCTAAAATCTAAAAAAAATGGTAACATTACATTATGTATCATATGCACGTCAACCACTTGCTTGTATTGCTTCAATAAAATGGTTTGACTAGTGACGTGTCTGTCCAATCCCTATTATATAGTAAATATACTACAATCACATTGTTTGTTGACAGGCCGTAATGAGAGATGACAGAATGACTCAGAGTGAGATTTTATATGTGTTTTTAACACCCACTCCAGAATATCTACAACAACCTGTTGCTCAGAAGAAAACCACATTTTCTGGTTTCGTTAACATGGTAAAAAGGTAGGTTCTATAAGTAACTGATTTTATTTTATTCAGACTGTAGGACTAACCTGCTGATCTTGAAAATATTTTGGGGGGTCAAAATATTCATACTGAGATCTGTTTCACTGAATGAAGTAGCATTTCCACTTATACTGGGATTGATCACTAGAACACTAGACCTCTAGCTAATTCCAAAATGCTATGGCATTACTATTTCAGTCTTGTTATCAAAATTTATGCTAGCAAATATATAAAATGACCTTAAGTAAATACCAATGTTCAGCAAGGGATAACATCATATACCCTCAACACCAAGTAATATTACTAAAAGCCTTTGACGTTAATATTATGTGACTTGATATTATGGTAACTGCTTCTTCACCAAACGTTCTTATGCATATCATGTAATTTTGTGTCCAATAGAGCGGGTGCTCATGTTGAAAGGGTTAATTCTGATTATTGAGCAGACCTCAAGATTGTCTTAATCTGATTGCTCAATTCTCTTCCAGTTATACCAATCAGAATCCGTAGATTATTCAATGATTGCTGTAAGATTCAGTTCTAAGCGATTTGTTAAATTTGAATCAAAATTGTATATAGATTTCAACTTCTTAGAAATTTTACGAAAGTTTACCAACTCAGTTGTATTTTCTAAGATGGTTGAAATAAACCAGCAAATATTCTCTAGGATTTCAACTTCTGCAAGATTGTCAGGCTGGGCTAAAGACTGAATGTTGTATTTTATTCTTGTATTCTTGTAATGTATCTCAACCGTCACCCTTTGTATTTTGAATCAGGAGCCAATTTCACAAACATTACCCTTTTGAGGTATTCATTCATCTGATTGGAAATTGCCAGATGAATAAGTTATCTCTCTTAATTATCCCAGTTGACCCAGCTGTAAATGGGTATGGATAATCTGAGAAAAATCAATATCAACAGGTATGGCCAAGGACAGACTGGTAGACAGGATCTTTGAGAACCCAAGTTGTTATCCTTTTCTTTTCTTCATGTGATTTTATGAACCTATCAAAAGATACAAAAAGCTGTGAAAATGGAAATCTATGAAATCTAATTGTTTATTATTTTAAATCAGCATGTGATATGAATCAATCTGATATGAGATCATGATTTGAAAGAAGTCGGTTTGAATAATCATGGTCCAGATTACATTTGCGTATGTTTTGTGAAATTTGCTCCTTAACTTACATGCACCCTATATTGTACAATGGTGCATGTTTTCATATGTTCTTGATATTAAATGCACTCCAAGGGTCAAAGGTTAATCACTGGGGAAAATAGAAAGCTTGGTTATTGCCCACAGGATCATGTTTTTGGTTTGCTGTCTCTGTTTTTATTTTCATTTGGAATTGGGCTTCAGTTTATTTTCAATAATCTTTGTTTTAATGAAAGGCACAGTTCAAAAAAATGCCAATTTTCATTCCTTTTTGGAGATTCCATACAGTCAAGCAATGTGACTCATATGCAGAATTGCTCAAAAATTCCTGGTAGATCTTGCACTAATTTTAACAGAACTTATAACCCTAAAGTAATCATTTTCTCAGAAAAGAACAAATTTATTTTGGAGTAATCTTTGTAATATTTGTAAAAGTTTTTAATGTTTAGTTCTCTATATATCTATCTAGCTTACCTAAACGTTCTGAATCTAAAAATAGTAGTGGTGATGATGATTTTTTATTCCTTGGTGAAGACAGGTAGTTTCGCTTTTACTCTTTTAACAAGTTGCTTGATGCTATATATAGACCATGTTCCTATAAACAAAGGTATATGAGTTTCAATTATCTAACCTTTGCTATCACAACTCAATAGTTTTGTCAAAAATCATGGATCAAATTCGCACCATTTCAGTTTCCTGAAATTGACCAGATCATTATTTCATTGGTGTATTAACATTCATTTGGCTTGAGGAATTGGGTCAAATTGTAGTAAGTTTCATTTTTCAAAAATGACAGGAATTGCAAATATCTTGCAAGAAGTAGAAATGATGCAATACATATTATACTAGAATTACAGGAATCACAGACAGGAAATAAAAGCTATAAAGATACTATGAAATAAACAGAAATAGAAAATCTGTGTAGAATTTCTTTCAAATTCCATTGTTCTAAATGTTGTAGAACTGATCAAACACATCATATTCAGTCTTTGTGAATATTTAATTTTTTTCAAATTATGTGTTTTTTACACTTATAGTAATGCCCGATTCAAAAGCAAGCAGAGCTTATATAAATCTGTCTCTGCTGTACTCATTATAAAAACATTGAATGAATATAAATGAAATAATATAGTAATAATTATTTGATATAAATCATATAAAAGATGGTGAAAGTAAAATGAGTTATTGCCTGGGCCTATTCACTGGTATGATTTGTTGATAAGAATTTAATTTCAATTATAAAGAGAGTTTAGGGGTATGCAACACAATGAAAAATGATTGACTAAGTTCCAGGTGTGTTGAGTATACAGTTTGCATTTAAATTTGAAATTACCATCACTATTTTTAAAAGTGAGGATTTACCTGTATTGAGCTACAACCTTGCTATTATATACAAATTAATGGAACAAATCAAATAATGACATATTTTCCCTAAGGGAATGGTTCAAAAGTCTTGGAAGACAAGAATATTAGGTTATGATAGCAATGGTTTGATAATGGAAACTTGCATCCCATTACTTATATGAACATACATTATATAGAAACCTCAGTTGCTGACTGTATTAGCATGTATTATACTCACAAACGCTAACAGGTTTTGACCACTCACAATACAATGTAACATTCTGTGAAGCTAACTTTGATCTCAAGTCCATATCAAATTATAGGAAATTTTTTTTTTTTTAGAAATGTAAATTTTGCAAGACAAATATTAAAAAAACTGTTCAAATTTTGATTGGTTTCCATACATTATATTTTGTGTGGTTCAAAACTCTTAGTGTAAATGAAATACATGAAGGCTTATTCATTATGATGACTGTTCCGTTTCAGGAAATCATAGGAGTCTGGAAGAGGCCCAAAATTGTCATTATCAGTCATTCATTATGATATTAATGTAGTGTTATTTTCATATTTTTATTCCCCTTAATATTAGTTTTGTTGCTTTAATCACTAATTTGCAGCACTTAATTTATATTAACTTAATAAATATTTTACCTCTGTCTTAGTTTTTTTACATGTTTTATCCTTGTCTTCTGCTTATACTACAATTTTATTGAATGGCTGATGGCACCAATTATGATATGATTTTATTCCAATAAACACTTTATGCTTATTGCTTTTTTTTAGTGCTTTGACATGCTCTGGTTTAGCTGTGTTTTGTAATATTTTGCTTCCAGTGAGCAACTTTAAAAGAATGGAATCTAAGAAAATGGATTGAAGTGAAAAACAAGACCGAAACTATCTTGATATTTCATCTTAAAAAAAAAACCATATTTTAGGGGTTTTTTGTTTAAGGCAATACTACCTCTTAGGTTGACCAAATAATCTACATTTTTAAACTTGATTAAATGAGTCTTTATATTCATCAGTAGACTAACCTGGTGTCATAACTATACATCTCTATGATATGATCAATCCATAAAACTACAGGTAATAATTGAAAAGTACCCAGTTTAATGGATTTATCTTAAAATACAGGATATCTGTTGTTAAGTTAAGACACCAGATAAACTCAACTGATGAATATACACTTCTTGAACAAGTTTGAGTCTTTGAGTTTTATATTCATTCCAAGAGGTAGTATTCCTTGAATACTTCAGCTATAAAATTAATGATTCCCTTCTCTAATATAACTGTAGAGAGCATTGCTTGAGATCTAGTCTGAGAATGGGTATCAACACTATCAGAGACTGGATAAAGATCATATCATAATTGATGTCCGTTTACTAAATGCTTATCTTTATATTGTCACTAATGAACTTATTCTACTTCTGATTTCCAATTCCTCTCTTATATTTAGTAACAAAGAAGATATAAGTCGTGATTCTATAGCCAAACCACTTTATAGATTTATGAATGAAGTGTTTGAATTAAGAGGAATGTTTAAATGGTTACGTAAAAGTTTTATAACTTTTGTAGAAGTTACATTTGGTCGCTCCATTAACAGGTAAAAGGCATATCATCTATTTTTAAGTTCACATAAGTAACTTATATAGCTATACAAATATATCTGTATACAGCTGTGATTTTGATTCTTTAGTTAAATTATGAAAGTCTCTAAGAGGTCAAATTTCTACAGAGCACGATCAAAGATAAGTTTCTTAAGATCCTGTATGGAAAGCACTAAAGTAGGTTTATACTTTTAGATCTGAATATAGATCAGATACAGCCTTAAAGGATTTGTAAAGAGGTCTTCTGAACTTTTAATGTCATTTGATAGCATCAATTTTTACTATTCTAAATATCAGACTTTAAGGTGTAGAGATCACATTAAATAACTACTTCTGGTTTTTATTGTATACAACATTTCAGGCGAAACTGGCAATGTAAATTGTTGAAACATTGTGTTAGAAATAAAACTCAAAAGTGGTTTACCATAAAATTATGTTCTGTGATTTAATAAGACTCCTGTATAGGGCTTTATAGGGATTGTAAAGAGGTTTTTTCTAAATTTTTTATTTGATGCATTTTATTTAACAGACAACTACATGAGACAGTAGATTGGGTATTCTCAGAGTCCATGATTATCTATTATATAAGATTGTTTAAAGAGTCCATGTGGCCTGATGGTAAGTGGGCTGATCTGTCAAATCCCAGAACAGATGAAGAAAAACTAGCCACTAGAAATGATGCCAAAGAAAAATTTATTTCCAACATACCAGGTGGGTCATTATAGATCTTTGCAATTTTGAGGTATTTTTGTGGCATTGCATCTTGGAACCCTTTGCATATTTCCATCATATTTTAATGTTACACCTTGCTGATTTATTTCCATCTATTTTCATTTTGCTAATAATGCTTGTTGGGATCTTTGTGCATGGTCTCCTTCAGGTCCATAACTATTCCTTGTTTTAGTCTCAGTAAACTCAAAATAATTGACTTATTTAGATGCATTAAAGAACCTGGTAGGCGAAGATAATGCTAAACATGGTACTATTAAGATGTTTGAAGTCATGCAAGATATCAGACTCAATAAACATATCTTTTATGTAAGTAACCATTTTGATAGTAATATTTGGTAATATATTTCATATCATGAAATGAATATCAAAGAAACTGTTTCCGAAACTCAGGGCTGTAACTATATCAAGGCAAATACGGCCAATGTCTTAAGTCAAATTTAACAGAAAGAAATTTTGTATAAAAAGTTTAAAATATGAATTTGATACCCATTAAATATATCGCTTTTTTGACCTTTGTTAAATGTAGTAGCCATTTGAAGTCTAACGAAAGCATTGCGATTAAAGAAAACAACTGACTTCAAAGACTGAGGTTTGTCTTTAGTTACGACCCTGTAACAATCCACCTTATGTCGACATTACCATAATTTCTGCATTCTTGGAGAAGAACATCATATTGTTTACATAAAACATTTTAAGAGTATAATCTGGATATTTAGTATCATGCAATTTCTTTTCCAAAATCCATGATTCGTGGCAATTCTCCATAATTTATTGTCAAGGTGACTGGTGTTAGGTAAAGCATTATATAAAGAATGGTACTTAAAAATTGAATGACAAGAGATTCAGGATAAAATGAAATATCCCAGAATTGTTTATCTGCTATACAAAGCTTTAAATTAAAACACAGTATTTTGAATGGATGAAATATTTCTATTTCAGATCATGAATCTTTCATGTGTAACTAAATTCTTTAATTTTATTATCTTATTGTGTATTTCAGTGTTTATTACAAGTATTTCTAAATGAATTAATACCAGAGTTAGAAAGTGTGAAGGATGAAAATGAAGGGGATGAAACGTGAAGCAAATCTATGGAAGATGAAAACTGTGATTTGAGGCATTTCAGGCTGAAAAAATTTAAACAATCAAGACCATTTGCCGGTGTTTTTAGAGCAATGCTAAGATGTTATATAATACAAACTCAAACACTTGGCAGAAATGACTTCAAAATGTGCAATAAACAAATTTCATTGCTCAAAATAGCATCTTTACAATGTTAAGCCTTAACAAACTTTGTCAAGTACCTTGACTGCAATAGCCACCTTTTGTATATCACAGGAGTTAAATGCAGCCATTTGATTGGATTGCTTGTTAGCAAATACAGTCAATCATAGTCCACAATTGCACTCGCAGTCAAATTGTTTACAGTCTCTCTGTGGGGGGTAAAGGTGTCTGTTGAAGTCCGTAATAGAGCAATTTGTAATATGTGAAGATGTCACAATATAGAAGAAATGAACATTTTTATTAGTTCAAGATTCATTCCATTTCTTTTATTTTATTTCAACAGAAGTTAATTTGACTACAGCAAAAAGATAATGCTCAAATATGACATCAACTTTCAATTTCTCATGATCAGAGAAGGCTGTAAATATTGTCCTGGCAGTACACCTACCCTGCCTTGTCTAACTTGTGACCGCCCAAAAAGATAATTGTAAAATGTAAGGATTTGGACCCTTTAATTCAGAGCTTTAGAATTTCAGTTACTGTCTACTTCGTAAGTTAAAATAATCTACAGCCCTGGAAAATTTAAAACTTTTTTTTTGCTCATGAGGTTGATATATAAGTTAATAAAAAAAACTGTGCATTATACAGTATACACGCAAATATATGGTATATGTCATTTTTTAATCCAAGGAAAACTTGACAATGATATCAATTTATTTACAAATCTAATATTTCATGTCTTAATTAATGTAAAATACTGAATGAATGCTCATTTTGTTTATGTTATAAATTTTGTTAAAGAAAATTTGTTCAAATTTATTTCTTAGCAGATTCACTTGTCGGCATTAAAGAAATTTAAAATAGATTTTCTTGCCTTTGTGTATGTGTATCAGGGTCACTGTGATTTCAGAATTAACAAATACCATTCAAAAAAAATATGTCATAATCAAAATATGGTCAACATTCTGGAACTTATTACTTTAGTATGTGTTTTCAAATACCCATATGCAAAGACGTAGAATAGACCCAAGTCACTGCCATGGCGACTAACATAGACATGCCTACAATTCTAGGCTCTTGTTGTTTTCGTCATTTTTCTCGACGAAATCTTGGGACAAGAGTGTAAGAAAGCCACTCAGTTTCAGAACAGGATTTTGTTTATATTTACATTATGGTAACTACAATTTACAAAACACAATAATTTTGTTTACTCTCACTGCTATATAGAGTTATCTACCTAGAGATATTCATTTATTTTAAGAACATCATCTTAATAATATTCTTTTAATTTTTTCGAGCTCTTCACTATTCAAAAGACAACGTACAATGACAGATATCAATATAATTTTAACTCATGAAAAACAAAAGCATTTTGAAGACGAGAGTATGATCGTGTCAACTCGGTTTGTCTTGGAACTTCAGACTATAGCGCCCTCTAACGGGCTCAACTCCACGTGATAATTCCTCTTCCTTTTCTTCGTGAATATTGTTCATGGTCGCCACGCTTCTGAATATTTTTGCAGCATTTTCCAGAGCCATGTCTAAATCAGGAGAAAGAACCTTCCTTGCAGTCAAGCCAGATGGAGTTCAACGTGGACTAGTCGGTGATATCATCTCAAGATTTGAGAAACGTGGCTATAAATTAGTTGCTCTGAAACTTCAACAGGTACTTTATACTCTCCTTACTTACACTCAGGCTCACAGGCCTAGCTACTAGACAATCTACCCATAGGCCTACTGGGTACAAATTACAACTACTCCTCTCACTCAGAATTCACCACTCAGACCAGATTTTTTCAATTTCAATAAAAAAATGTATATTTTACAAATATATTCAGAATAGTATGATATTGTCTGAGAGAAAGAGATGTATATTTTACAAATATATTCAGAATAGTATGATATTGTCTGAGAGAAAGAGAAGTGGAAACACCAACCAAAACCAAAATTCTACAATACTGAAACTGAAAGGTTGTGTAGTTAATCTTAGAGTGTCTTTCTAAAATCCAAAAAACTAATTGTTTAAACTTGACTGAATGAGGAACTCAACAAATCACAAGAAGGCCTTTTGTTTTATTTGTATTTAGTAAGTGCGATTACTGCTTTTTATACGCCCACATCTCCGTATGTGGACGTATATTGTTGGCACCCCTGTCTGTCCGTCCGTCCATTCGTCAACATTTTCTTGTAAACACTCTAAAAACGATGGAATCAAATGAAATTCGGTATGTGTATACATATTCATAAAACGAAGGTAAAGTTTGAATTTGAGCTATTTTTGTCCGTTCAAAGCACAGATATTGCCCTTGCCCCAAAATCTTGAATATGCTATTAATCTCTTAGTTTTCAACTGATTTTGATAAAACTTAAAATGGATGTTTCATTTTTACCATCCACATGCCGTGGTGGGCGTATATGGCTGTGGTCCACTATTTTACATTCATGTAGGCTATCCTGCCACCACTTCAAGCCATTCATTAGATCTGCATAATGCCATTGCATAAGCCAGATTTATTTAAATGCATAGTGGCATGTGAATTGGATGGTCCTAAACATAACTTTATTTCATTTAAGCTTACTTGTATGGCTGCCTTTAACTTTCCTTTCCATCATTGTAGGTTAGCGAGGACCATTTAAGGAAACATTATGCTGATTTAAAGGGAAAACCATTTTTTGAAGGCTTAGTGAAGTTTATGGCATCTGGACCCCTTGTAGCAATGGTAAATACTTGTCAAATACAATCAACGGACAAATCTAGCAGTTAAATAAACATGATTTTGGGCTAAGATGGATAATATAGTTACAAGGACTCAAGGCGTTTTTTTGGTGCAATTTGGTTTAGATTAGCAGTGGTCCACAAATGCGAAATTCAAATCGGTGATTTGGCAATATGGCTGCCTCTGCTGACGACTAATGAAAGACCGCTATTTTGATTACATTAGCAACTTCCACATGCTGTCATCTTGGAAAAGCCTTATCGAATTGCCTAACCACCTCCTGGGACGGTTAGGGTGATTAGCCAAATCAGTTTAGGTGAACTGGCTCACAAATGTACCGATTAGCCTAATGGTCCTGGCTCACAAAATAGCTAATCTGCCTAATCCAATCGGCCCACAAAAACGACTCAAGTGTCCCTCAATATTTTGAATTGGAAAATTTGCTTATACCTCTCTCTCATTGGCCAGTTAGAGATTATTAAGAAGAGCATGAACATCCATTGCATTTCTAACAATGTTATTTTCTGGTTTATCTTTTGATTGTTGAATATTTCAGGTATGGGAAGGTTTAGATGTTGTCAAACAAGGCAGAGCTATGTTGGGTGAAACTAACCCATTAGCTTCCAAACCTGGTTCTATCAGGGGAGACTACAGTATCGATATGGGAAGGTAAAAAATACTGTGAATTTGAGAAGAACTGTCCATGACCATATTACATGGATATATTTGTGAACTTGTTGAAATACAGCGATTTGAGTCTTGAATATATATAATTGAAATGGTCTTCAGAAATACTAGAAATGTACGAAGATCCCACAATTTCTTCAAAAATATCTTAAAACAGGAATTTCTTCTCCTTTTAATACTCCCACATGAAAATGTGGACGTATAAGCTTATTGACCCTGTCCTATGTCCTTGTAGGCCTAAGAGACTACATTTTTTATACGCCCACATCTCTCTATGTGCACGTATATTGTCGGCACCCCTGTCGGTCTGTCAAATGAAATTCAGTATGTGTATACATATAAAACGAAGATCAAGTTCGAATTTTTCAACTGTTAGAAGCAGAGTTATTGCCCTTTCCCCAAAATCTTGAATATATATTACTTTTAGTTTTCAACCGATTTTGATGAAACTTAAAATGGATGTTATTGAACCTAAATCGAAAGGATGGAGAAAGATTAGTTTATTTCTGATTAAATTTAAGGCTTTTTCAAGATTTAGGCCTCTTAAGTCAGATTTAAGAAGTTATCGGCCCATCAACATTTGCTTGTAAATGCTCTAAAAACTAGAGTTTTTTATGGAATCAAATGAAATTCGGTATGTGTATACATATTCATAAAACGAAGATCGAGTTCGAATTTGAGCTAATTTCGGCCATAAGAAGCAGAGTTATTGTCCTTGCCCCGAAATCTTTAATATTTACCATCACATGCCGCGATGGGCGTATCGTATATGGCTATGGTCACTATCATTATATGATCTTGATGAGATTTGGTATGATATCTCAGTAAAGCTTGAAATTATTAACAATCGGAATATTGGTTTCTCATATTAAACCACTACAGACTTAAGTTATAATTTCTGACAGTTGGTAGTGGTCGTATGTTACTTTGCCTGGCAAACTTTCTTGTGATACAATATTGTTGGAACTTGGTATTCATGTATTGTTGACTTGTAGGCACTATAGAGTCTATACAGTTTTTATCCAATATTGATGAAACTTGGTATGCAGTGCATATTGATAAGATCTAGGTCATGGTCGAAAAAAGTAATAATTGGATGAGAGGTTTTGCCATTGACTCAATAAAAACTCATCAAATTTGGCTTGTAGGCATGATATAGGCTACAGTTTTATTTGATCTTGATGAAACTTAGTATGCATGTATGTATCTATGAGATCTCAATTGAGTTCGATATTAGTAACAAAAGGATGAACGGTTAAGCCCTTGTATGAACCTCAATGTTGCCTGGTAGTGGGCGTATGTTACCTTGCCTGACAAGCTATCTTTCTCTAGACTTAAATGTCTTTTCTATATTTCAATATTTTAGTAGTGAATGCTATTAGTTATTGTCTTAGCTAGAAAAATATTCCCCTTTCTGTGACTAAGGTATGTTTTGTCAAAAAATACGGTGGAGTAAGAGTCACCCAGCTGTAAATAGGTGTGAATAAACCAAGAAAGATCAGTGTTAATAGTTTGGTTAAGGTCTGACTGCAAGCAATATCCTTGTAAAACATGTTTTTCTTTTCAGAAATATTTGCCATGGTAGTGATTCAGTTGAGAGTGCCAAAAAAGAGATCGAATTATGGTTTGATGCTAAAGATTTATGTGATTACAAGAAAGCTAATGATGTATGGGTTTACGAGTAAATAACATCTAAATTCTACCCCATGAAAAGACCAATTAGACAAATATTATAAATATTTTATTCGACCCCTATTGGTTGTTGTTACTGCAATGTGTTAAAGTTTGCAATGGTCTGGTCTGTAATAAAATCGCAATAGTGCTCCAACAGGTGTTTTAATTTGTGTTCTTGGTACCAAGTTGTCTGAAACTTGCAGGTTAGCTCTTATTTCAAAATATGTCCGTGCTTAAATGTATGGAAGAAGGGTTTCACACAGTTCTATGGACTTTGTCTTGCCCTTTATGTATATTGTATGTATAAGAGTTTGATAGAGACAAAAATACGGTTTGTTTCAAATTTATAAAGATTCATGGCTATCCCCTACTCACAAACTGAAAGGTAAACTCTTCATCAGTGAACTTAACTGGTGTTAAGAGTGAAGAAGTTCCTAAAAGCTTCTATGTAAAGCACTGGCCAAGGTCACAAATAAAGAGATAAATGTTCAATACAAGATAAGGTGAAGTTAGCATTGTTAGTATTAAGTTAAAAAAACAACCACGAGTAATCTGCAATAAACAAAAGTCTATAATATGAAAGTTTTCTTGTTACCAGTTCTAAAAGAAAAGAGTATTTATAGGTTCTGAAAAGATAAACATCTATATATAAGGATTAGAATATATTATACTTAATGAGCTAGAAAATATAGAGGGGGTCAAGTATTATTGGATTCAATGGGATCGAGTCTACCACGGACCAGAAAATTACTAAGGTTATTATTTTTATTTTTATTAAGTCCATTTGGAGCCACTGTTTGGAGTTGGTCCATCCAGTAGCTTTCTCTCTGTAATCGTTTGGTTTTTGGTTTGATAAGATCAGAGTCAGGAATTGATTCAATAGGCATAAGTAGGTCTTCAATGGAATGGTCAGATAAATTAAAATGATGAGAAATTGGTCTATTTTTGCTATGAATTATATCAAAGCAATGGCCGCTAAATCGAGTTCGCAACGGGTTCTGGGTTTCGCCGACGTATTGTTTGTCACATTTTTTACACGAAATTAGGTAAATGATATTTTTATCCGTACACGTGAGACGTTCTTTAATTTCAAATATTTTTCGTTTTTTTTTATTTTGAAAATAATGAGACATATGGATATGTTCACAGGTGCGACACCGAGAACCTCTACATGGTATTGCGCCAAAGTTATTTATTGGAGGAGGGAGTTCATTAATTTTCAAAAGGTCCAAAACAGTGTCATTTTGCGCAAGAATCGTTTGGAATAGCCCCTCTCTCTTAATTTACTGAAAACCAGTCTACAAGCTGCATCAAAATCTACTTTTTGAGTGCAAATTCTAAAAAAACGCAAAATTTGTGATTTGATTATTCCCATAAAAGTATGTTTTGGGTGAAAAGAGTTTTTATATAAAAGTTGGTGAGTATCCGTTGGTTTAAAAAATACTTTGATATCTAATTTGTTTGTTTGAGAGAAACTTGGTCCTTTGAATACCGTAGTATCCAAAAAATCCATACTTTGTTCAGAAATATTCGCAGTTAGTTTTACAGATGGGTGGTGATTATTTAAAATTTCAAAATATTGCCAAAAATTTGTTAAAGACTCGGTCCAAATAATAAAAATATGTCAAGAAACCTTCCATAGAAGAAAGGTTCAAAAGGGGAAATGGAAGAAATTTCCAATTCCCACTCAGCCATAAAGATATTTGCATAACTCGGCGCAAATCATTTGCCCATCGCGGTGCCTGAAGTCTGGAGATAAATTTTTTCATTAAAGGCAAAGTCATTTCGCGTTAGACATTATTCCAAAAGTTCTAATATTTCTTTGTCGGGTCTATCTACGCAGGGATTTCGAAGAAAGGCCTTTCGGACAGCGTCTAAACCGGTTTTATTATCAATATTGGTATACGTACTCGTAACATCTAATGAGATAAATCTTGCGTTTAGAGGAACATTCAAGCTTTTAATTTTTTCAACAAAATCGGTGGTATCCTTAAGATATGACGGATGCTTACACGCTAATGGAAGTAAAAAATGGTCAATGTATTCAGAAACTCGGTAGGATTCGCTCGCGCAATCTGAGATAATAGGCCTGCCTTTAGGAATCCTATTGGCTAAAGACCATTCAGTTTCCGGGTTTTTGTGAATCTTCGGTAAAGGTTTCGGATTAGGTTGATCAACAATTAATAATAAAACAATTGTGGGTTTTTAAAAATGCGGTCGAAAACGGAGAGACCCATAGAAATAATTGTGATTCCAGTTAACGTAAAACTTTCAAAAAGAATTTCATTTTATGGTTATCTAATATATACATGTTTTCCATAGAAAGAATAACAAATGTGAATGGAGTGATCAACGGCTCGACAATACATGTACCAGGCGGTCCAACAGGCGGTTCGGCTGGCGCTGTCTGCAGCATACTAAGCTTAATTTTTTTATGCTAGAACTAACGATATAATAGTAACAATAACGTGTTTTAATATAGTTATTTATTGCTTTTAATTTCAATCATTTTGTTTGTAAGTATTTTTGTGCTTCTGGAAACTGAAAGAAATAAAAAAAATCAAATTTCGATGTGGAAATCAATGACATTCTATGATGTTAATATCAATGCCTTTTCAATGTACTTGTACAGACATAGAAAGAAATAGTTGGCTTCACTGGTTATTACAAGTTTCTGCTGTTTGATTTTATAACTATAAAACATCGGTAAAAAACCAAATTAAAAAAGAGACAATTCATTTTGAAATGACTTAAGTGTTATTGCTCTATGATAGGGTGGTGTTTATGAGGTAAAAGATATGATTACGTGATTCTTCAAAAATGGCCTTCAACCCACCTTGAATTTTTACTCTCTTCTTTCATCCTGTCTATCACTACCGGGTGTGTCACCACCTTGAATTTTTACTCTCTTCTTTCCTTCTGTCTATCACCACCGGATCTGTTACCACCGGGTCTGTCACCACCAGGTCTATCACCACCGGGTCTGTCACTTCATGGTTTGTCACCACCAGGTCTTTTACCACCAGGTCTTCGTCTTTCCTGTCTATCACTTTCTTGAGAAAGGACGAGCCAAACAAGCTGCGAACATCAACAATTACTGGCCCCCATTCATTATTCTCATTAATCTTTTCTCCAAGTAAAGGAGAGTAAGGCATGGTGCCTGTTTTTCAGACATAGACTACATTCTCATGTTGATAATATTTTACTGGATTACAAAATGTCTTATTGTTTTCAGATAACTCAAGTTAGTCGGATTTTAACCTGGCAATAGTATACCCTATGTTTATTATTTTGAATATGACCGAAATCAAAATGTTCCTCATAGAAATTTTCCTTGACCATATCCTGATAATTCTCATTGAGACATGTCCGACAATCTGTTTAAAAGCCACATTTGTTTTGTAATGGCAGTTGCATTGACAGGTTTCCTTGACCATATCATCATTGAGACATGTCCGACAATGTGTTTAAAAGCCACATTTCTGTAATGGAAGTGGCATTGACAGCATTTTCATAAGTTACGACTCATAGAATAGACTCTCATGTGGTCGCCCAGCTTTACTGGAGTTTTTAACGCACTCAGATGTAGCATGTTTGAGTTCAACTAAAATTTCAAAAAGAATTGTCAAATAGGTATATATTTATCTTGAGGGTTTTTAATCAGCAGGGTCATGAGAAATATATTTTAAACAAAGTTTTTACCATCATCGCAATAGAAAGTAATTCCGCTTACTAAAAAGTTTTGTGAAACGAACAGTATGGCTTGACAAATGTAGAGGATAATGAGATATATTTTTACATCCGAATTTCTATATAAATCCAAACTATTCTTTGTATTTCATCATTCATTTTGTTGAACTTGAATACACGACGATGGGAAAGATTGTACTCTTGTTAATGTTTGCAGCCTGCTTGGCATTGGTACTTGCACAAGACGAAGGCGACAATGGTTCGCGTCCACGAAGACGAGGACGACCTGGTCGAGGTCCACGACCCGATGGTGACAGATCAGGTGGTGACGGTCCTGGTGGTGACGGACCTGGTGGTGACCGACCGGATGGTGACAGGCCGGATGGTGACAGACCTGGTGGTGAACGACCGGGTGGTGACAGACCTGGTGGTGACCGACCGGGTGGTGACAGACCGAATGGTGATAGACCGGATGGTGAAAGACCGGATGGTGACAGACCTGGTGGTGACGGACCTGATGGTGAAAGACCGGATGGTGATAGACCTGGTGGTGACCGACCGGATGGTGACAGACCTGAAGGTCAGCGACCTGATGGAGATGGAGGAAACTAATGAATAACATCAATAACAATGTAAGTTCCAAAATATATAATATAAAATACGGGGGCTCACATACGACATATTTCACTTTTTATTTTAAATTAAAAACTTTAATTTTTACCTGCGTCAAAATAACCAAGGTAAAAATTTAAGTGAAAATCGGGTAAAAATTAGGTGAAAATTCTTGTATTTTTAAATTGAATACTTTACTTTTTTACCTTGGTACGGTGGCTCCGGTATGGAACCGGTATGAAAACATTCAGATACTTTGTTTGAAAGAAACAAGATAGTCTGTTTGCAGAATATGGTACCGTTCATCTTCAACAACAACAGTTATTAAACCAAATATATTATCATTCTTGGAATGGAGATTTGATTAAGAATTTTTCATTCATTTATATTATCTTAATTACCATGGTGTCTTTATTTCAGTTTGAAGTTTCCAGTTTCCAGTACAGAAATATTTAAAAACATGATAAATGATAAATAATAAATTACTCTATTGGAACTGTTGATTGTTATTATTTTTTTTGTTTGTTTAAAGAAAATGTAAAAACTGTAGAGTCGTAGAATTTAGAGGCTGCCATTCGAGAACTATCAGAGATGTAAAGCTGCAATATGCTCTGCATGTGCACACTCATCTGAATATGTTTTCTGCGAAATTTCAAGTTTCTACCATGTAATAACTGCTTGCTACAGCTAAATAAAGATGAAACTGTCGATTTGAAAAAAATTTGACAGGCTGTCAATGGAAAACTATCAAAGATATAAAGTTACAATTTGCACTGCATGTGCACACCCCTCTGAAATTGTTTTTGCCAAATTTCAACTTCCTACCTCTGCCTGCAACAGCACTTTTATTTTCAGACTCTTCCCGAAATAAAAATATAAGGGTCGATTTTCCTATTGAATATAAGGGTCGATTTTCTCGAAAGTCTGAAAAAAATCCGAATATCTGTTTTCAGGAATATTAGCAGTAACGTCCAAGATAATTTTAATTATAATTTGACTGAATTGGGTCCGAACCGTCTGCCTCCATTCGAACCTCTGGTGGATTGTCGCATTTAGAAGATTCATCAAAGATAGCTTGGCAGCTTTGATTTTGAATAAAAATATTTAGCAGTACAGAAACAATCACCTGTATGAAATTTTTAACCATATTCAGTCATACACTTCTTTTGAACTCTTTAGGGCAATACTGAATAATATTGAGTATGAGTTATTGCCCTTGTTATTGAAAACGTGTTCAATTTTTAGCCCATGAAAACTCTAGAAGGCAAATATTCAATCTTCAGCGCGAGACTGAATAATAAAACCAAGTTTTGTCAAAATCCAGCAAGAATCATGCCTTTTAGTGTTTAAGAGCTAAATTTGAAAGCGTTTTCAAGAAAAAGGGCAATAGCTCATACTAAATATTTTTCAATTCTTCTGATTTTCAATAGTGTTCATCCTTGGGTGATTACGAGCACTCACACCAAGTTTCGTCAAAGTCCGTCAAGAATTGTGCCTTCTAGAGTGTTTACGAGCTAAAAATTGAACGCGTTTCAAGAACAAGGGTAATAACTTATACTAAATATTTTTCGATTCTTCTCATTTTCAATAGGGTTCACCCTTGGTTGACTACGAACTCTCGTACCAAGTTTTGTCAAAATCCGTCAAGAACTGTGTCTTATAGAGTGTTTAGGAGCAATTGTGGACGGACGGACGGACGGACTGACGGACGGACCGACGGGTGGACTGACGAACATAGGTGACGGCAATATACGCTCTACATTTCATGTGGGCTTATCAAAATGAAAAGGTAAAATATCAGACAACATTTGGTGGAGTAAATACATAAACAGACTAAGATCTAAGTAGTCGACGAAAAGATGGTGGTTTCGGGTTCCTCGTTGCATACTGGACACATCTCTCCGTCGACTTTCCCTATTCCATTCAGCTTTACCATATTCCATACCACATTATGGGCAATTTTAAAATCTAGGTTTATCATTGTTGATGTCTTATAGATTTAGGCTGGAACAGAGACAGGTGTTTTGGTCTAAGTTAATCAACGATTGATAAAAACACAATTGTGCCTTTTTTTTTAGAAAATCGGAGTGAACAAAGGCTGGAAATGGTCGTCGCCAATACACATATCAAACGGTCCACCAGGAAGTTTTTAAATTTTTGATGTTGGCCTTTACAGAGAACTAACGATATAATAGTAACAATAACGTGTTTTAATATAGTTATTTTTTGCTTTTAATTTCAATCATTTTGTTTGTTAGTATTTTTGTGCATCTGGAAACTGAAAGAAATAAAAAAAAATCAAATTTCGATGTGGAAATCAATGACATTCTATGATGTTAATATCAATGCCTTTTCAATGTACTTGTACAGATATAGAAAGAAATAGTTGGCTTCACTGGTTATTACAAGTTTCTGCTGTTTGATTTTATAACTATAAAACATCGGTAAAAAACCAATTTAAAACAGAAACAATTCATTTTGAAATGACCTAAGTGTTATTGCTCTATGATAGGGTGGTGTTCATGAGTTAAAAGATATGATTAAGTGATTCTTCAAAAATGGCCTTCAACCCACCTTGAATTTTTACTTCTTCTCTCATTCTGTCTATCCCTACCGAGTGTGTCACCATCGGGTCTGTCACCACCAGGTCTATTACCACCCGGTCTATCGCCACCAGATCTGTTACCACCGGGTCTGTCACCACCGGGTCTATCACCACCGGGTCTGTCACTTCATGGTTTGTCACCACCAGGTCTGTCACCACTAGGTCTGTCACCACCGGGTCTGTTCGGACGAGGTTTGTCACCACCGGGTCTGTTACCACCAGGTCTTTTACCACCAGGTCTTCGTCTTTCTTGTCTATCACTATCTTGAGAAAGGGTCGGAGCCAAACAAGCTGCGAACATCAACAAGAGAGACATTTTCCCCATTGAAGTCTATTCAA